TATTGGTACGTGGGGTAAGGTTCCAGGATCTGCAAAATATAAGTTGAATGCTTACCCCCTGAGCCACCAACGCTTTATTATCTACCGTACCTAGATTCATTTAGTAATTACTTAAGAATATTATAGTCCAAATAGGCATATAAATCTCGGTATGTACAATTCTAACATAACCTATATTTGTAAGTACTCCTTAATTTTGTTAGCAATACCGATTTCTATACTACAATGTCTTCTCAAGGACAATTCAATAACGAATGTTTCTAGAAATAAGGTAAGGGTTACATTGTAACCTGAAGGCCGGTCATGCGTCAGCACACAGCAACGCATTTATATGGAATATTTGAAACACGTAAGGGGATACTGTGAGAAACTTGGCTTTGGAAGTTGCTTAATAAGGGAATACCAAGCTATAAAAACTTTTTTTTATATCAACGATAAACACGCATTCCAATTTAAAATATATAGGAGTAAAGTAAAAAGCATATAACATCGATAGGGTACACCTGTGACTGAACTATCGCACAACTGTTGTGCGATTGTCGATTGTTTCGCAGCCAATTCAACTGTTTAGTTGCACAACTAAAAATCGAGCAAATTGCACATTGCACGAGACAGACTACCTAGATTCAGTGCTACATATATCTCTAACAAAATATTGTAAAACAATATATTCTCAAATAAACAATAGTTACACTAAAAAGTAACGAAATAATTCCTAAAATATATAAACCTCCCTTATTGTAGTTGTTATGTCTGTATTTTACAAAATTATTATTACTTTGATGTCGGTGTCAGCCAAGGTATGCAGTGATATTTCTACGTAAGGCTTTCTATATTTTAACCATAACAATTGACAATTGAAAGTATAGTAACGTTTAAGTAATGAATCTACATTGACTGATATCTCCTTCAAAGTAATAATAATTGAGCGGCGTGTTGAGCTTAATGCGAAGGTATATTACACAGCTTATCCTCCATTGTGGGCGTCCGTATATCAGAGATAATGAAATAACCGCGTAATATCAGACACAGCATCTTTCAATTTTATTAAACCGGATTGCAAAGACAACACTAACCGGATTGCAAAGATTGCGCCAAACTCAGAGAATCAAAATTTCTTGTTATTAATTGAGTGTTGCGTAACTCATATTTTAATTATAGCACTTGTATTAGTACGATGTGTATAATTTCCTGGTCATATACACATGCGCAGTCGTCATGCGTCGACGAACTCCCCTGGATTCCTACAGTGAAAGACCCTAACGCTATCGCGAGAATTCCTATACATAAAACTATAAAGGATATCTGTTTATTAGCATACAATTCTAGTTATTACTAAGGGAACCCATTAGTGTAGATTTAGGTATTGCAATACGAGTATATACTGAGTTATCGTGAAACTACTATAGTAGCTGTTGCTCGGGACTTCGCTCGCATGAAAATAAAAAAAAATCCGATGTTATTTAATTATAACGTAGCTTCTTAATGGTGAAATTATTTTATAAATCATCCCAGTTTTTGAGTTATTTCAGTACATAGAAATATACAAATCTTTCCTCTTTATAATATTAGTATAGTTTACATAACGAAGTTGCTTACTGCTGTCTGCCCTATGTTTGCTTAGTGACGGATTTTGATGCAGTGCAATAGATAGATTGTTTCGTTCATTAACTGAATAATACATTCTTAATATAATACTACAAAAAGTTTAGTTACAAATATATGTTTTATTTTTATTTGCATAACTTATAACTGGAAAACAGACGATATCGCTTGCGGCCAAATTGTCGTGAAGGCGAACTTACGGACCTATATTTCAGGCGTATTGCCAAATTGTGAAATTTAATATACGAGTATGTACCTTAGATATAAGATCATATTAACATAGATGCTATATTTTATCTATACTATTATAATAAAGCGTAAACATACACTTCTTTGTTGCCTAATATGTCAGCAATTCAGCATATTTTTGAATAATTCTTTTTTAAATAAAAATCCCTACACTTACGTCACGCTTTAAGCTATATATTTTCACGCCAATTAACTAATTAGGGGGTAAATATTTTGGATAAAAACCCTAATGTGGGAAAGAGACCATAAGTTGTTGCCATCAAGGAAGCAAGATTGCTAAGGTTTGTGATGTCATTTCATTTTGACATTTGCTATTGATAATTTGACAAATGTAAGAGATAAAGTAAAATTTTCATAATTTCATGCGAATGAATCCGCACGGGAAAAGCTAGTACAGTAAAAAAAACAAACTTAAATACAGCTTTCTGTTGTTTTTTTAAATTTTTTGACGGAATGTGTATGAGATTTTCCTATCTTGTAAAGTTATAAAGCGTTTCTTAGCGCAAATTAACGTTTAATCCGAAAAATAAGGAAGGAAACACGAATTGTATATTTACGGCTCCCCCTTATACTGAAGGTATGCTCTCAATTGTAAAAGGTTATTTACACTGGTTGAATCCGGAATTGAATTTAATTAGGAATTTAGATATTGGTGAATATCACGCTGATGCTTTTAATACAAATTTTAGTATTTTTTTTTATAAAGTTATTTATTTAGTGAAAATGTTAATAAAATTTTACATACAAAGACGTTATAGTTGCTTCATAAATTCATGTATTTCACTATTTTTATATTAGTAAGTTATGGAAGCATTAAACTATACTAGCTGTGTCATGCGGATTCACCAGCATGAAATTTAAAAAAAAAATTATTGTTTACATTTGTTAATTTCTCAATTGCAAATGTCAAAATGACATGACAAGACAAACCTTAGCAATCTTGCTTCCTTGTTGTTGGCAGCAACTTATGGACTCTTTCCCACATTAGGGTTTTATATCCAAAATATTTACACGCTAAGTGTAATAGCGTGAAAATATATAGCCTAAAGCGTGCTGTAAGTATAAGGCTTTTTATTAAATAAAGAATTATTCAAAAATATGCTGTGATTGCTGACATCTTAGGCAACAAAGAAGTGTGTGTTTACGCTTTATTATAATAGTATAGATAAAAGATGCTACCGTGTGAAAGGTCCTTTATAGTCAACGCTATGGTAGCGACACCTGGCGAGTGGAGGCTGCCGTGTTTCCGGTGCGCCATCTTGTCCGCCATTTTAGTTAATTACTAGACGTTAAGAGGCTTTAGTAATGTTACTAGGGGAAGCTGAGTAGGTTTTGTATATATTAAAACTTTTTACAATAATATTATTTGGACATTTTTGAAACATTGATTATTAAGCTTTCTGAAATTTCTATTTATTTTATCGTTTATGGGATTACTTAGCGGTAAGTTTAGGTCAGCTTTAATAGAGTAAAACTCAAGTTACGTAGTTCAGAAAGGCATTTCTTGAAGTTATCGAAATAAACATTAACGAATAAATGTAGCAGTATACTTCCCGTATATGGGACCATAAGAAATGTTTTGTTTATCAAAATAAGTAATAACGTAAGTACGTTTTTAACATGTTTCAGGAATCACACCAATTTTGTTAAACTACGATAAAAATACTGGTTTGTTTGATGAAATTTCTACCATCCATTAACTAAATATATCAAAAAACTTTGATATCTTACGTAGACCTTTAAGAAACACTTTCACGGCAGAGCCGGGTATACCCGGGTGGGGGGCGCACGAGGCGTGACGACTACATCGATCGGTCACGCCCCGCCGGCCCGGGTGAATCGATACAACCGGGTATAACCGGGTGTTTGTTTTGATTTCGGATATCGTCTCCTTTCTATAACCGGATAAAAATCAACTATTAAAATTAAAATAAACATATCATAACCTTCGGTATAGCGCATTCTTAGATTGTGTGCTATCTCTTTTGAATATGAGAATTTTAAGCTGTGGGAAAAGGACAGATAATCTTTTGTTTGCTTCACTATTGAGGCACTTTTTTTGGTTACTACATTTTTTTGTATCTCATTTATATGTGGCTAAAGTACGTAACTTTGTACCTAAACCCCTTCTCCTATTTTTAATCGCAACATAATTGTGTTACCATTCATAGAACAACCTAAACGATGGTTCTAATTTGTTAAAAAGTTTATTCCAAGACTAAAGAAATCAGCTAACATGCTCTTCAGTAACAAAACTCTTACCTTGATCTTATTATAGTTAACTAGCTTTCACAAACGACTCCGTCCGCGTTAAATTAAAAAACAAAACAAAACTAGGTAACCTATATATTCTTTCAGACTATCCTCTATATCTGTGCATAATTTCATAGAGATTCGTTTAGCAATTCAGGCTACAAACTCTAACTAACATTCTCATTTATAATATTAGAAAGATAAGAGATAGAACATTGCTTTTGATGCAAATTACCAGTGCAAACTTACCGGATAATGTATGTTTTGTCAACTTGTCGTCGGGCATTGATCGTGGGCTGTTTTGCTCGGCTGCGCGCCGGCACGCCCGGTCTCGCCCGGTCTCACCCGGTCTCACCCGGGTGCCCGGTTGCTCGGTCGATACGCCCGGTTCATGGCCGTGCACGGATCATTAATTATGCTCTATTTACTATTTTATTGCAAATATTTGTAAAATTTAATTCATAAAAAGATGCTTTCAATGTTGTTTTCTAATGACCTTTCTAAGTATCCGGTTTTAAGCTTATTTCTAAACGGGATTTTAAAAATTTATGAACTATCATACATTCTAATTGTTACAATAGTAACCCAGACCAGTTGGTCATATTCGCGCTAAAAATATTAGAGCACACCTTTGACTAAACTATCGTACAACTGTTTAGTTGCGCTTTGATTCCTATGAACTTATAAGGAGATGTGCACTCTACTTGATTTTTAGTTTTGCAAACTGTTGGATTGGCTGCGAAACAATCGACAATCGCACAACAGTTATGGGTTAGTTCAGTCAAAGGTGTCTGCTCTTACACTATTTTAAAAACAATGGAATATCGGTTAATCTGACTTTAACAATTGACGTTTGACGAATTTTAACAACATACTCATCCTTTTATCCCCAGGTCACGGCGGTGTTAACCAACTAGGCGGTGTGTTCGTGAACGGCAGACCTCTACCCGACGTGGTGCGGCAAAGGATAGTGGAACTGGCGCACAGTGGAGTCCGACCTTGTGACATCAGCAGACAGTTACGTGTCTCCCACGGCTGCGTCTCCAAGATATTGTCTAGGTAAGTCAGTTACCCAGTCATAAGCCGGAAGAAAAGCAGGACTGCGATGTCTCAATATTCCTAGCGAGCCTATCATTTCCTCAAAGATCGGCAACGAATCTGTAGTTCCTCTGTTGTTGCGGATGTCCATGGGTGTCGCTGACCATCTCGGTGTCCTCGCGCCGCTAGTTTGCCCCTTTTATTATCAAAAAATATTCGAGATTTCAGTCGAAACTTTACGTAAATTAACGATTGATGTACATTTTCTGAATTTAACATATCTCAAGATATAGAAATTATTTAGAGCGGGCGCACAACTTTGACTAATCGCACAAAAGTTGTGCGATTGTCGATTGTTTCACAGCTCATTCAACTGTTTGGTCGCAGAACTAAAAATCGAGTATTGTGCGCATGCGTAGTGCATAGAAAACAAAGCGAGACGAAACAGTTCGTTCTTAATTACCAAAATATGTCCCCATAAAGCGTCTATTTTAAACTTCTCTAGTTATGCGATGGCGAAAACACCTTACGTGTTCTCTGTTATCTAGATTCATTGCCGAAAAAACAACTGAAAATTATCTTAAAACAACCAAGCATTATATTTAACTAGATGAGCACAGTTTAAACGTAGCAGTAAAATCAAGAACAATAGCAAATGACATAAGTGTGATAGCGGATGTGTTCAAAGTGTGCGCACGCGCCGCGCCCGCGCTGCGGAACGACGCACACGACTGTATACGTTACTTAGATGCAAACTGAACAGCTTTACTAAATAACTATCTGTGTGTTCTACATTAAGCTTACTAAATTTTTAACTAGTTGTTGCTCATGTCTTTGTCTAAGTGAATTAAGTAAATGTAGCCTATGTCACTCAGTGAGAACGTAGCTTTTTAATGGTGAAAGAAATTTTGAAATCGCCACAGTAATTTGTGTGTTATGTCAGTACATACAAAAATACAAATCTTTCCTCTTCATAATATTAGTATAGATACCTATATCACTTTATTTGATTCCGTCAGTACTAGGAAATATTCAAATAACCACATTTTCTTTTATGCTCCTAATTAGTTGGGTGGCAAGAATTTTTTACCTCAATAATAGACTGACGATTGACCCATACCCTGTGGTTTTAAATTAAAATTTTACTATTAATAAAATGCGAAAATTTAGATACACAGATGTAAAATCAAGACGGATAAACGGAACGTGATTGTTTTTTAAACTCCGCACGGAAATTCGCGGGTAAAAACTAGTCTAGAATATCCATAGTGTTCAGTACAATACAAGATGGAAATGACGCAAATATAAATGTACAAAGTAATGAATGTAGCTGCGATCTGGCGACCGCCGCCATTGTCTGTTTTAAATTGAAACTGGACGTAGTGATGTAACATCGTGTTCTGAATTTAAAATAAATATAATATACACAGATTTTTAATATTAGTAAAGAGTTATATTTCGCGAACATAATGTATTTGCCATAGTTACAATTTTTTTTTAAATTTTTGTCTTTCGCTGTCCGCCATCCGAGTTTGTTTCGGGTAATCTCCGAAACGGTTGGTATGATTTTGACAGGATTTTTAATGGAAGCAAGCTTTATGCGGGATTATTATAGATTACCTTTTTTTTTAATAGTTTTAATATATAAGTATTGCAAAAAGTATTGCTAAAGTGTTAAAACTTATTTACCTATTAATGTTCATTTTAGATATCATGGTACATTTATTAAGAAAAAATACACAAAATAAAATAGAAAAAAAAATTACCGGCCAATATATATCATTGCTTTTTTTTATACAACGAAATGTATGATTTTTTGTCAGTAAAAACCCATCCACTAAAATCTATTCTTACTATTTTACAATCATTGTATATCTATTTCGTTGATTAGTTTATCGTAGTACTGTTTTCACTCACTCATCCCTATTCCCATGGGAGCGGGAATGGCAACGCGGAAGGGGACGGACATCGACTCTCAATAGAAACACCCTGTATCGCTTTTCAATTTATTTGTGTGCCCTTTACTAACGTTGTTGTTTCTATATTGCTGGATTTTGTTGGCATTTTTATTGATAGAAAATATCCATACTCTATATTATCTTACTAACATAAATGCGAAAGTTTCGATGGATGGATGTTTGTTAGTTTGTAGCCTAAACTGCTGAACAGATCTCGATGAAATTCGGCATAAATGTAGAGTATAGCCTGGAAGAACACATATGGTATTTTTTTTAATCCACGCCTAAAAGCTAGTAATATCATAAAGAGGAAAGATTTGTATTTGTGTGTTATGAATAAACTCAAAAAATACTATCCGATTTTAAAAATTTTTACAATATCAGAAAGCTACATTATCTCAGAGTAACATAGGCTATGATTATTTTAAGATTCTGTTTAATTCCGTACATAGGACGTGACTTAAAGTAAGTGTTACATTTAAGTATGACTTTAATGCTTAAGGGAGACAAATTTTAACATGATTTTCCTCTAACTTCATTAATAAATTTAATATGAACTGCATATTTTTATTCTTTCCAAGTATTAAAAAACAACCTAAATACAAACGAAAGTAGTCCGCTCGGTCCTGCATCCGTATATAATAATTAGTCCGGTTTTTTTTGCTGTCCGTACGTCTGTAGGCAGAAAGCGTGACTGCCCACACTTCCGTTCATAGCTAGCAACACTAAGGGAAATGTGACATTTGAATTTAGACTCTGTAAGCTAAGAATAGAGTCTATATTTGTAATTAGTAAACAATGAGATCTATGTTACCACTTGATATATAGAAATTTTAATGTATTTGGTTTGATTAGATTTTAATTAATTTGCACTGTTGTGTTTATGATTGATGGTGATAAGTTACGAAAATTTTATTTCCTCATTCTATTTCTTATGACTTCTAACAGTGGAAACGTGAGATTTTGAATCAATTGCACCGTAGTTTATTTAAATATATTGTTCTTTTTATGTTTTCATACAGTTTATTCCAATAAAACGCATAGTAAATGTAGATAGCTTTTGTTATTTTTCTGTATAAAACTTCACAATCTATACAAATATTATAAAGAGGAAAGATTTTTATTGATAGGTATTTTTGTATGTATTGCAATAACTCAAAAACTACAAGGCCTATTTTAAAAATTCTTTCACTGTTACAAAGGTAATTTAACTGTGAGTAACGTAGATGTTTTTCTACCATTTTTTTTTAGTTTAATGCGGAAGAAATCGCGAGTAATAGCTAGTGTAAAATAGAATACATTACCTTTTAAAAATACTCGATTATAAATAATCGAATAATCTAAAAATCTGCTTAATATTTCATTAAATATTATATTACATTCAAGTTGAAGCTTAACTAAGCTAGAGCAATGTTAAGTTACACTCCCTCGCACGCGTTATCTTGATCTCCAATATGTCGGACATGTTCGACAAATTGATATTGACTCGTCTATTGACAAATTCGCATGCATAGTAATCTTAATTGACTTATAGCCGGTTTCCTAACTACGAACGACTCGTTAGTATATTTGGATCAATAACTTTATGAAATTCGTTTCCAAACTTAACTTACGTTTTACTCCTTTGAAAATTAAATCAACCTGACACTAATGAAACAACAGGTAATGATAAAATATAAGGAATTTTCAGAAACCCAGCATAAATAATGTATAGTGTAAGAGGTGTGAAGCGAAGAAGATATGTTAGGTAGTTGTAACTCTTTTGTTATTTAGTTTTTTGCACTGTCAGAGATAATTGAGTCGTTTAGTGTGAATTTCTCTCCTCACTTCCATTGCGTTACATCTAAGCCATTCGGTGGATTAAGGTGGCCGTTTGCTCGTTTGCCACCTTGTATTATAAAAAAAAAAGCCAAATTTCATCGAGATTTGTTTAGTCATTTAGGCTGCAAAGAGTAGTCAACCATCCATCCATATAAACTTTTACATTAATATTAGCAAGATTGTCTACTGCAAATCAGATAGATCCTAATATGTACCGAAATTTTTATTTGTTTCTTGTACAAACAAAATACAAACTCTAATAGAAACAATAAAAATGCAACATAATAAAAATTTGCTTTAGACAACCCTGAAACACCAACCCTACCACCTCACCCCTCTCTCCTCCCCCGCATCGTAACATTACGATAATGTCAGCGCTCCCCGTGGACCGAACATAGCGCCCTTGTTCATAGCCCGCGTAATGTCGCGTGCAAAACTTCTTTGAAACAAAATTTGAATGAAAATGTCATAATATACAAATTTGATTTTGGTATCTCACCAAGTAATTACCGTTTTATAAATTTATGTTCTTGATTAAACTTTATTTTGTTAATAATCTCTGATCCTTTAGTTATTTTTAAGTACAAATGTCTTAAACTGATATTTTATCTTTTTTAGCGATTTTGTTTTATTTTTCACTGTTTTAAGCAATGTAAAATAAATACGCATCTGCAATTTTGTAAATCTATGGGCAGCGCAGTGGTCACTTCGCTATTTCAGCGAATTGAGGTGGCCTTAAGGTCATTTGCCACTTCATATTAAAAAAAATCATCAGTCTTTTTCACTGTTTAAATACTTTTTTATTATAGCACTTGTCTACCCGACTGTCCCTCTCACTCGTTCGTTCGGGGTGCGATCACACTTATAATTGACTTATCTCGATATAGCGTTTGTGAATAAGTGTACAACACGCAACCCCTCACTCCGCACCCTCACCCCCGCACCCGGCATCCCGCGCCAAATTACTTAAGTGCGGTCCAGTATTATTGTATCTATCTGCGTAATCTACCGCTCTGTAACGAGCTTAAAGCTTCGTAGCTTTGAGCTTATAGCGGTTGGTTTGGATTTTGATCAAACTGTACCTTTGATGTTTAATTTGTTCGTGATGTTGAATTTATTTACTGAATCTCTTGATGGTTAATAAACTGTAATGTACTTTTTTCTTACCCTTAGAGAGTGTGTTAGTGCAGCAATTAATTTAATATTCCTATTGACAGGAATAACTGCTTTTCGTTAGATTTCATCTTAATTATAATGCAATTTGTAACTAAACTTAATGACTCTTAGTTGACATTTGATTTCCCAGGTTTTACAGAATGTTCTAGATTCCTTAGTAAAATTATTTTATTTAAGTAACTATGGGTTACTTATGCTCTGACAACAGACAACATAATTATTCTTCCTTGCATCACAGCAGTGTTTCATAACCACATTGTACATTTTCGTGGTTAAAAAAAAGAAAAGAAATCCTGAATCCTTGGTAAACATAATAACAACAGAAATGTCAACAATGCTTTTCATATTATCTGCTTACAAGTGGTAATGTAGACAATGTATTATTATCAAAGAGACAGCAATCCCGGGCCCCGAGTCCCCGCTGTCCCGCGGGACTTCGTTGTCCCTAACACGCTCTGTCACTGACACCGGGGTACAGACATTGTCCAAAATATTTTGAATTCACGTTACTGCTGCAAATTCAAATTTGGAATGTACAATTGAAATTTGGAACAAGCAATTGTTTTTTACAATCTCCGACATGTCGGTTAGAAAAGAATACGTACTCTGTTTTGCGATAGGTGACAAAATAATTTGATATGATGTGATCTGTCTGTTATTCTATAACTCTTTGTCCTAAATTACTACTATGCTGGTCTCCAGCGATATTTCAAAATATAATATAGCTGTAGCTGTAGAATTTCTAAGACACAAGTCTTCTAAAAGGACGTACGTTCTTCATAAAACCACAAATCAGTTGGCAGTTTGAATTTGGTACCTTTGCATTTTTTAATAGAATTGCGCCCTTAACTCTAACCAACCAGTTACAAACAGTGAAATCGAATCATAAATAAAAAAACATCGTCAGCTACAATAAATCACAAAGCAAACGGGGTTGCACTTTAAACGAAAGGGTAGGGTGTCCGGTACTAATCAAATTGTCATAATACAGTCCCATTATTTTATTGGCCCGGCTGAATTTAATTTCGTCGATCGTAATGCCATCTCTCAAGGGACGAGGCGTGAGTGCGTAGGGTTGTATGGCTGGTTTGGGAATCGCCGATCTTCTACACCATATGGTAGTGATTTCTCGCTTTCGAAGTTTTTATTTTCTTTATTGTTTGCTTAATGAAGAAAATGATTGTTTTTGTAGTCTATTGTATACATAAAACACACGCCTTTTGTGATTCTGTGGCCTTTTAATTAAACACTTCTTTCAGTAGACCCATTTCTAAAATCTTCTTTGATCTGATTATTTTTACGATCGTATCTTCGGTTAATATCGTCTTGTTATATAATACTGCTGTAAATTCCGGTACTCCTGGAATTATTTACATCCTAGATAGTGGTGTAGAGTAAAGTACTATTTGGCGTTGCATACACTATTATCTTTGTAAGATTGGTTAACTCATCAGTCCACTGAAGTCAAGGAGTCCTTATTTTGCAATATATTTATGCTGTATTCTCTTCCAGGTACTACGAGACGGGCAGTTTTAAAGCGGGCGTGATAGGCGGGTCTAAGCCGAAGGTGGCGACACCGCCCGTGGTGGACGCGATCGCTGCATACAAGCGGGAGAACCCGACGATGTTCGCCTGGGAGATTAGAGACCGGCTGCTCAGCGAGGGGATCTGCAGTCAAGATAATGTGCCTTCTGTGTCTAGTATAAACAGGTATGTTTTTTCCGATACTGTTATTCTAATACAGTAGAACCTCGATAACTCAAACCTGTATAACTTCAAAAAATAATATGTTCCCTTCCCATCAGAGCCCAAAACCTCTATAACATAGACCCTTGATAACTTAAAACATTTTGTGTTTCCCTTGGACTTTAACTTATCGAGGTTCTACTATAGTAGATTAGCATGTGACACTCAGAAATGTCTCTCTTTCTCTCTCATCATATTCTCTCTTTTCATTCTCTTAACAAAAAGAGACTACCGGCCGTACACTGAAACAATCTTTAAATATGTGACGCGTCTTAAACGATAGCCCACAGTTGCAAATTCCATTAATTCTTTTGACATCTGTTGATCGTAAATAACGCTTACAAAGCGATATATATGTCGTTTCAGTATTGGGCCGTATATGTTTTAAACTCAGAGGTTAAAAAAATTGTTTATAAATATACTAATTCCGTTTAAAAAAAATCTAAATTCGCTTACTGTTCAATTAAATTAAAACCATTATTTTTATTTTATTCTTACTCTCATAGTATTATTTGAAAATTCAATAACAATGAAAACATTACGTTTAGAAATACAGAAAAACCATATATTCTTTTTACCAAAATGTTTCTTCTATCAACCTAAATTGTTGAGGTCCTATGAGGGGAAATTTTGCGCAAACTTTCTACCTTTGTTATTGCAAAATACACTCTTGTGTGTTATATTAGAGGGTAGTTTTGTACGCACTATTAAGTAGACTAGGAAAGAGTTAGGTGTGGCCATGAAAAGCGCTACATAAAATAATTTTTTCAACTTTATACCAAATTTCGATTTAATACCAAAATTAGTTACAATAAGTATTTCATTTAATATATAATTATCAATGAAAAATTTACTTTTAACTGATTATTGCAAATATAGACTTGGTAGACAAATACATATAAATAACAACAAAATTATTATAACGACGACTATCGTCCGACGTTTTCGTGGTTTGAGTAGCAAGGGGTTGCGTGTCTACGGAGAGAGGATCCCGGAAACGGAAAGTGGGGGAACAAAGATGGCGGTGCCGGAAGTCGGGACACGTGCTCGCCGCGCGCCGGACATCCCCAGCCTCGCGTCCATTGAATTATTACCATTCTACAAATATAATAATATACAATTGTAACATTTCACCGAGTTTTCTGGAATGATAGGAACATCTTTTGTAGAGAAAACATCGTTTTGCTTTTAACCTAATGATTGATCTGTGATGAAAATGTTATATTTCTATAGAATATTTTATTGCATTCGGGTGATATTTATACGTAATATTGGATCACAGAAAAAGAAGAAAGTGACTCTTCTATAACCTCCCTTTCTCGTTTAGCAACTTTGAATATTATCCTTATGTAATAAAAACAAACAAGCATCTAGCTATCGCTCGTTGCCCTGGACCAGGGACTGCTCACTACCGCTTTAATCTCTTCGACTAATCGTATACATGGTCTGCCTCTTACAGTTACTGAACTGTAAGAGGAGATTGTATAGCTGTATAGAAAGCGACATAGAAACAGCGAACGAAAAAGTGTGCGCTACTGTCACGAGGGCTCTAGGGCTATCATAATTTAATTTGACTTTCACACCAGGTATCCTTGTCTGTCTTATTGCTCTTAACCCTCATAACTAAGGTTATTCAAAATAATAATTTATGGTAGAAATGTTTATTACAATTTAAAATTCATCAAAACCTTCTTATTCTATTCCCGTTGGGTCGGCGCTACAGATTCTTGTCTTCCACATACTCTATCATACGTCATCTCAATCATCAAACCCTTTTTGATTATGTCATCTTTCACGCAATCCATCTCTTTCTACGTCACTTAAATTAACATACACGGCTGTAATAACGCGTGGTGTTCCCAGATAAGATAAAACTCCCTTTGTCATACTTGTTATTAATTTGTCGACGCGTGTCATTTTTATCTACCACTATCTGTCCGCTACCGTTTATTAATTTAGGTTGGAGATATCCGTCGATAATTTGTTGACAGATTACTTGTGTAGATTTTGATTGCACGCTGATATCGTTTAGTAATGAAAAGTTCTTGTTAACTTAGGTTATTTGAAAACTGTGAAATTTAATATTGTTAATGAAAAATTATTTTATTCTTTATTTCTATAATGCAGGTGTCTCGGCAACCCTTCCAAATGCTGAAATACCGGCCCTAAAGAACTCTCTTACAGAGTAGCATAATCTAATAAACATTATAATAATAGGTGGCTAGCATTCCACAGGCGTGCAGTTTTCAAGAAACTTTCAGCCCCGCACAGCGTTGAGGAACGGTCTGTCCTCGGCGGTATTTCGAAACTAATACGACTTAGGGTCCTTCAAGAAGCGAGCCTATCATTTCCTCAAAGGCTGGCAACGCATCTGTATTTCCTCTGGTGTTACGGATGTCCATGGGCGTCTTTGACCACCTTGGTGTTTTTACCGCTTGTTTGCCCCCTTTTATTATAAATAAAACATAGGAAGGTAAACTGTGTAGTTTACGTGTCTAAATATTCAAAAGAAAAAACTTAAGTCAATCTTTTTCAATTTTTATTTCCAACATTGAAAGTTGGTAGCAAATTTAAAAGCAAATTTGGGTTCGAGTCATTCAGTCGTTCAAAGGGAGGCAGTCCATTATCGAACAATAATCCAGGGTTATTGGTCTCAATAAACAGCCTACCCGAGGGGACTTTTTAAATCTTATTAGTGCAGTTTGCGTTTTAAATTGGCAACATTGGTATGGCGAGAACCTGAGGGAGTTTTGATGGAATTGTATTATTTGAGCTTTTGTTTTATAACGAACTAGCTGTTCCCGACCGATTTCATCAGCATAAAATTATTTTATTGTTTACATGTGTCAAATTATCAATAGCAAATGTCAAAATGACATGACATGACAAAACTTGGCAATCTTGCTTCCTTAATGTTGGCAGCAACTTACGGTGTCTTTCCCACATTACGGATTTTATTCAAAATATTTACCCTCTAAGTTTAATGGCGTAAAAATATATAGCCTAAAGCGTGACGTAAGTGTAGGGCTTTTTATTAAAAAAAGAATTATTCAAAAATATGCTGTAATTGCTGACATCTTAGGCAACAAAGAAGTGTGTGTTTACACTTTATTATAATAGTATAGATGATATATTGAGAGGGAAATTAAATACTTGTCTAAGCAAAATTTTACTCTAGAAATAAGTATTTAGCTTAAGTTTCGTAGTATACATGTACTAATTGATGGTATGTTTTTATGTAATTAGTAGCTTACCCCGCGACTCCGACCTCATGGAATTAAAGACAAAACAAGATAAGAGCCTATGTGTTCTTCCAGATTATGTTCTACACCGATGCCAAATTTCATCAAGATCCATTCAGTTGTTTAGGCTACAAACTCTAACAAACATCCATCTAAACTTTCGCATTTATTTAGTTAGATATGCAGTAACGACAACAAAAACTACAAGATTCATAATTTGAATATATGATTTGTTTCCATACTATAATAATTTTTAAATTCGCAACAGAATCGAAAGTCGACAGTCAATTTTAAAGCAATTGCGTGCTCAATACAATGGCGATTCTCGCCCCACGACACGTTTCCGACACGTGTCCGTCACGAGGCGGTAATGCGACGTCGGTGCGGTCTTGGGGACCCTAAATACGAATCTATTTGAGTGGAAGTATCGCCTATTCATGGGTACTGAGAATTGTCTCAAGTGTGAGGAATTAAGGGTTACTTGATTCTTATGTTTATCTATATTCTATGGTCTATACTAATATTGTAAGAGGAAATATTTGTATTTCGTATCGATTGAAATAACTCAAAAAACTAAATTAAAACGATTTCAAAAATTTCTTTCACCAAAGCTACGTTATCAATAACTTAGGCTTTTTCCTTTTTTTTAATTTCACGCGGGCGAAGTCGCAAGCAACAGCTAGTTAAGAAATAAAACGTTGGATTTAGCTTGTTTTGGTTAATTTAGTTTAATGGTTATATTAGATTTGTATATTATTCTTTTATTTCTACAATTTCTGTATAAATTCTACAAAAAAAAAACGACAAGTTTCGAATCAACTCATTTCCTAAATAACTCTCATTGTTAAAATAACGAACAAGTGATTCGTTATTTACAAGTTATGAAATTGATTTAATATTTGCAAAAGCTAAAAGCTAACTTAAAAATAATTCGCAATATAAAAATCAACTCACCAAAACAGAAAGTAATAACCATAAAAATGCTCTCAAAACAATACAATAAAAAAGAGAGGGCCGAATAAAAAATCGCCGAATCGCAAAAAACACCAAGACATTTTTTAATCGAGGACACCGTCGACTGTAATTGGATCCATAATTCTGCCGGCCCCGTTTTGACATTTGATTTTTTTTGTAGCGCGAAATCGTGTAACTCCTGATAGGGTAATTTAGGCCTATTTTGTGGGGGGTTGAGTGCTGTCAACGATAATATACTTTTCTTCCTGTTTTCCTTGAGATTTCTTAAATTACTGTATTCTTTCATGTCATATTTACCAAATCTTTTTAAATTTGCTATGTCGTATGTATTAATTTATGATACATTTATAACAAATAGCAATATTTTGGATAGCATCCCTTCATGTACAAGGGTTGAAATAAGGGTTAGTTACCCTTTCGCCCGGAAACGGATGCTTCTTAATGTTTGCAGAATTGTGTCCGTGAAAGTGCGTTTGTCATTTAATATACAAAAATCTATTTACGAAGATAGTATAAAAAAATAAACAATAATCTAGAAGTTTTTATTTAGGTTGTTATAAGCCTATCTTTATAAAATACTGAATGTAGTCGTTAGTGGTAAAAGAATTTTTGAAAACGCCCCAGTAGTTTTTGAGTTATTTCAATACATACAACAAAAATACAAATCTTTGCTTTGTATAACATCAGAATAGAAAAGTATGTAATAATAATTTTTAATTCGTTTATTTATATCAATGTTCTTTTAACAAAGACATCAATCACCAAAATCCCATCCGAGGTAAAAACTGATTACTCTATTACGACCCTAAACTCTAACCTTTTAGATGAGTTCGTAAAACAATTTTTGCATATGTCGACCCGAGAGATACTGGCAATAACTCACCGAGCGCCATTATCCATCATGGCGGGAAATGAACTGTCATCCCGCGACGTCGGCAAATGGCCGCCAAACAAAATAATGACATCATCGGCGCGGTGTACCTAATTTGCTTACCTTATGTCGAAAATCTTGCAATTACAATGCAATATGTTGGTAATATCAAGGGCTTGTCCCACCAAATTGTTAACAACAATCCAACCTGTAAAATATCGCATTTTGTTTCCTTATCTGACGTCATTTTTAAGCTATATGAGCTAGTGGTAGGACATCCCTAAGTCTTTAATTGGACAAATATGTGATTTAATTCGTATTTTCGAGTTTTAAATCATTTTGCGGATAAACTAAGGTTGAAAAGTATGTAGCACAGGTATTAACAAATAGGTAACTAAATATATTATAGACATTATAGTAATAATTCCTCGCTAAATTTTTATTCACATTTTCGTACCCCAATAAACAAATTTGCCTTCGCAAGAGTCATTTTTTAACCGAACCGCAGTAACAAAGAATAGGAAGCGTTACAAATCGTGACGTACGCACGTATATTGCCAATAGATGTCGCTGCACGTGCCGCTTTCATTCTCGAACGTTCGCGGGAACTTCCCGACCACAGAGTTTAATTGATGACCCTATACTTTTTTGAGGGTTCAAAATGGTAATGGAATATACATGTTTTGCTACAATTTCTATTGCCCGATGATATCTTGATTTGTTATTATAATGTTTATTATATCTGAGAGCAATTTGATAAAAGATTGTGTATGTTTTTAGATCGTGGTACCGGTGGGAGAAGTAACCCTTAAGACTTCGATTACCATCGAATTCTACTGTCTATTAGGATCTATTTTATTCTATTCAACATACCAGTGTATTACTTGAAGTCATAAAATCATAGTAAAGAAATACTACATTAAAATCTTACATATCCTATCAAATAGAACACTGCAGCGTAGTCTTCTGTAATGTGTTTAGAGCTGCGTATTTTAAAAGATATTTTGTCGCCAGGATCGTCCGTAACAAGGCTGCGGAGAAGGCGAAGCATGCGCACAACCAGCAGCAGCAACAACAGCAGGAACAAGAGATCAGCTCAGCACAAGGCAGCGTCGTCTCCGTAAGTGTAGATCTTTCCTATGTATGATTGTCGGAACAAAGTGAACTTTTGTTAGTGGAAATTAAGACGTTAATAGAGTAACAATGACCACCAATTTTACCAACAAAAGACTGCGCAGGTAATAAGGTACGCATAGTAAAGAATTTATCTTATTTCTAGAAGAAAAAAGTGTGTTAATAATGTTGATCATCCTTCAACAAAATTTCGAAACACATCAAAGAAATTATTTTCATCGATAGAATCTATTTAATAACTAGCTTTCGCCCGAGATTCTGTCAGCGTGAAATTAAAAAAAAAGTGATTAGCCTATGTATTCTTCCAGACTACGTCTATACCAAATTTCATCGAAATCCCTCGAGCCGTTTATACTACATATTCTAACAAATATCCATTCATCCATCTAAACTTTCGCATTTATAATATTAAGCATGATTACAATTTTGCAATCTGCCATCAGGTAATAACCCACGCGGGCAACGCGCCGGGAACCACGGCAGTGCTGTCTCCAGCGGCGGAGCACGTCGCCAACACAGGCAGCTATAGCATCAACGGAATCCTCGGCATCGAGCAAGTGGACGGCCTTCACAACGGCAGTAATGCTGGACTCAAGAGGAAACGACATGAGGACCAAGGTAAGAAGACTAAGGACCTGTCATACTAAATTGTAAATTTTCTGACAACATTCTAACGTGTAAAATATGTGATGGAAATGTCGGATTTTGTTCCCTTATCTGGCAGTGACGTCATTTTTAAGCTATCTGAGACTCTATCAGCCAGTGATGGAACAGGCCCAAAGTTTTAAAGTTTTACACAGTACAGTTTGGTCATAACAAATTTGAATTTTCTCCAATTTACCCGAACAATTTCTGTCTGTCTTATTTTCTGATTGTTTACTTCTTTCTTCTTACTTCTATAGGGTTGTTATGATAAACTTTAGTTATACTGAAGACAATCATCATCCATTTGCCCTTATCCCTTACGGAGGGTCGGCACAGTATGTGCTGCTCCATACATCTCTATCAGCCGTCATCTGAATCCACTCCTTTCTTAAGCATATCCTCTTTCACACAATCCATCCATACTAAAGACAATATTAATGTTTAATTAAATCTTAACATATGAAAACACATTACTTAGTAAAATGTAAAACAGAAGTGGAATTTTAAAGGATTCCAAAAATAAAGATATTGTAACGGTCGGTTGAACTCGTACGTTATAAAGTTGGGCACAAAGTGTGCTGTAAAAGTTGTAAGTAATTATATAGAGGTACACGGATTAGAGCAGGCGCTGTGCCTTACGAGAATGGTGCTACAGTGATGTGACAATATCGATAAACTTTTAAATCTATTCAAATAGGAGAAGATTTGTATTTTTTTATGTATTGAAATGACTCTAAAACTACTGGGTAGATTTCAAAATTTCTTCCACCTTTAATAAGCTACGTAATCACTGAGTAACATAGGCTGTATTTTTAACTTTTATTTTTATTCCACGCAGAGAAGTTCGCGAGCAACAGCATGTAAAGCCACATATGTATAAAACCTCCTTTTTTTAGTCTTAAAATATTACATGTACTCGTATTTTTACTAATGATCAAAATTTTAAAAACATAACTTAATCTTAAAAACATTTGCTTAATCATTTTGCATAATGTATGGAATTTTCTATTTATTACATAAAAGTTTTCTCAATTAAGTGCGTTCTCCATTTCTTATAATTGTATTTAAAGTAAAATAACTTTTAGTTAACAAATATATCGATAATTATTTTAAGACAGCACATCACTAGCGTCCTCTAGCCAGCGCGGTGCACTCAGCGGAACCGGCAAGATTTACTGTGCTATTATATCCCCAGCACAAATTCTGCCCATATTACCTTATAATTTCTCTTCAAATTCTTACTACACTTTATGGTAGAGTAAAACTCGCTGCTTGTATGCACGCTTAATAAGATCTAGAGTAAAATCCCAATAGGAACTTTAAAATTTAATGAAAACATGTTTTTGAAACTGTACAATTAGGTTTTTTTTTTTTTTATAATACGAGGTGACAAACGAGCAAGCGGCCACCTAAATCATCATCCAACAACATCCGCAATTGCAGATGCGTTGCCTACCCTAATTGACGGAGGAGGAGACGCACATAAAGAGGACATTTCCCCTTCCTATGCGTCTCCTCCACCGTCAAATCCACTTTTCCCTCCCATCCTTTCCCCTTAAGAAAAGGGTGGAAAGGAAAAGGGACTAAAGTTAGGCCTCCGGCACCACACTCATCAGACGAAACGCGGAATTGCTTCCACTTCACGCCTGTTTTCTGTGTGGTCGTGGTATTACTCCGGGCGTGCCGGCCCATTCGTGCGAAGATGTTAAAGCGGGCACTACCACTGTTAAAAGGTAGTTGTTAGGTAGATATGAATGTATTTTGAACCAAATTTAGAAACGAATTAATTTACAAACTTATTTGGCTCTAAAAACAGTCATCTCAGTCACTCCCTTTTTGATCAAGTCCCCTTTCAAGCAAACAATCTATCTACGTCTTCCTCTACCTGTACCACACTCATAACTAACGTTCTTCTTGTTACTCATTTAATTAATATATAAAATAATGAATCTATTCGTTTTATTGTCAACAGATGAGAACAGAGACTTCAACAGCCATTCAGAAGACGACGTCAAAAGACAAAGAAGTCATTACAATGGTGACCAAATATACTCTAACGTAAGTACAATACATTTTTAAAACTCGACTATACAAAGTTGCCAGTTACTTTTATTAATGCATTAACTTTTTTTGTTCTATACTTTCGCGTCGCATACATAAAAAAACCTCTGTTTTTATTCATAGCACAGAATATTATTTATTAATCCTTCGGTACAAGAACATACAAAAAATCAATTTTTACTATCGTACAGAGAAAATAATGTAACAAAAGGTAGAGACCAAGAGTCTCCTCTTCTTTAGAGCGGACACAATCGCACACGAGTTGTGTGATTGTGGATTGTTTCGCAACCAATTTAACTGTTTGCACAACTAAAAAAAATCGAGTAGCACCTCCATATAAACTCATATAAATCAAAGCGAGACTAAACAGTTGTACATTTTTATTAAAGGTTTAAAACTTACGCTTACTAACTTACTTCACATATCGGTAAAGAAATTCAAAGATATGAGTGAAGTCAACCCGCTGTGCAGCGTGGTTGACTATGTCCTAGTACCTTTTTTTTTTTTTCTCGCTGGGAAAATGCATTTACGCATCCCCCCGTTACCAGGGGGGTATCTGGGACTCACCGGCCAAAAAAGTACAGACGTGGCCGGAATACCCACTAAAAATCAAGCGGTTTTCCTCCTGACCGCCGACGGCTGGGTCACGGGAACACATGTCCTAGTACCCTAACTTAGGGTAGGCCCCGAGCCTTTCTGACGTATAGTGGTGATGTTTAAAACTGCTTTCAGCTGGGCACTTAGTTACATGTTTTATATGTTTAGCTTTGGTCATCTAAATGGAGTCTGAAAGACGAGTACAAGTTGCTGTCGGAGCTGGGCGGGGCGGGCGGCGCGGGCGGCGCGGCGGGCTACTACGGCGAGCTGTTCGACGCGCCCTACGAGCACGCCGCGCATCCACACTACACTCCGCACTCCGGTAACTATACACTACACACTACATATTCTACTCCTTAAAAGAACTTCTAAACGATATTCTTTCGTCTTTTCATTTCCTCCTTATCCTACTCCCGTAGGACCGGGTTTTCGTCCTCCAAAAAACTATCATCGTCTCAGTCACTCCCTTCTTGATCATCCTTTTACGCAATCCATCTCTTTCTACGTCTACCTCTACCGGTGTACACTCATAACTAACGTCTTTCTTGTTAAATGCGTTCCACTCCTCTTCAAAACATGCCAATAGGCATCTAGACTATTATTATAAAGAAGGAAAGAATTTTAATTCTGTATTTTTGTATGTATTGAAATAACTCAAAAACTACTGGATCGATTTAGAAAATTTTTACACGCTTAGAAAGGTAATTTATCTGTGGCCATAGACTACATTTTTTAATTAAACGCGGGCGAAGTCGTGAAACACAGTTATATTCGTTAATAAACAATGGACTCAGTCGGAAGCGAACACAATCCCCGAGGTGACCGCATCCTGATGCTCTCAGTAACACAACACGAGGGAATGCGATCCCATACTTACTAGTTACATTTTGTGTCACAATGGGTATAGTTGAACAGAAAATGTTCCAAGTTCTCTTGAAATTCTATTCAATACTAGCTGTTCCCATGCGACTTCATCCGCAGAAAATTATGATTTTTTTTATTGTTTATATGTGTCAAATTATCAATTACAAATGTCAAAATTACATGACTTGATGATAAACCATTGCTATCTATCTTAATTCTTTGATGTTGGCAGCAACTTATGGTCTCTTTCCCACATTAGGGTTATTATCCAAAATATTTACCCTCTAAGTTTAATGGCGTTAAAATATATAGCCTAAATCGTGATGTAAGTAAGGCTTTTTGTTAAAAAAGGAATTATTCAAAAATATTCTGTATTTGCTTACATCTTAGGCAACAAAGAAAAGTGTGTTTACGCTTTATTATAATAGTATAGATTGTTAACTATCTATTTTATGGTTATCCTTGTTATAAGGTTATAGCTCTTTTTTGGTTGTAAAAGTCCACACTTTTCTCATTTAATTATTCTTCTGTAAGATGGCGTTGATTAAATTAGTCTTCAATTATCCATGCGTCTTTATTAATATTTGATGCTAGCAGGTGTCAATGAATTTTCAATAGTTCTTCCCACGCGGCTGACCGCACTCCGCGGTTACTCTCAGCGATATCCGTTACGATTGACTCTACAGTCACGTGGGAAATGAGTTCCGATACTAACGTGTTGGAGATATTTTATAAGGACGGAATCCATTGAAGAAATCTTGCAAATATTATAAATGCGAAATTTTGGATGGATGGATGTTTGTTAGTTTGTAGTCTAAATTGCTGAACGGATCTTGATGAAATTCGGTATAGATGTAGAGGATAGTCTGGAATACCATTGGCTAATAATTTTGTTTTTTTTTTTTAATTCCTCACGTTAGGAGTCGCAGGCGAAAGCAAGTGACTATATAATTAAAAAAATCAAAAGTACTATTATTGTTTTGAGGACTAATATTTTTTTCAACTAAAAATAGTACAAAATTATAGTTTCTTGCACTTTTTTACAATCAATTGAACTTAGAAATAACCTTTTTTGCAAAACCACCGTAACCTAAAAGGGTAACGATTAAATATTGTCGACAAAGTGCAATTTCACGACATCCAAGCCCGGCATAAATCTAGCGCGCGCACCGACACGCCTCGGCCGGCGCGCAATGGACGCTATCGATCACTGCTGCGAAAAAAACAACCATCAAAGAGATTTATACATGCTACATCGAAAAACGGAGCTTCCTTTTTTAACACGATTCCTATTGCTTTTGCAACGAAATAGATTTTTGCATCCTCTATTTATTAAAGACTAGCTGTTCCCGTGCGACTTCATCCGCATAAAATTATGAAAATTTTATTGTTTACATGTGTCAAATTATCAATTGCAAATGTGAAAATAACATGAAATAATGACAACCTTGATTCCTTTATGTTGGCAGCAACTTAAGGTCTCTTTCCCACATTAGGGTTTTTTCCAAAATATTAACCCCTAAGTTTAAAGGCGTTAAAACTTATAGCTTAAAGCGTGACGTAAGTGAAGGGCTTTTTATTAAAAAAAAGAATTATTCAAAAACATGCTGTAATTGCTGACATCTTAGGCAACAAAGAAGTGTGTGTTTATGCTTTGTTATAACAGTATAGATACTGAAGAAGTTAGGGAACCCATAATTTTACATCAAGTTGGACTGTCTTTAAACGATAGATTAATTCGTACCATAGCCAGCTTTTGTTTAATAGTGCAGTCCCCATCATTTACTGAAAATAAACATCAGACAACTCATTTAATTAGAGGGCTTGTTATGAATATTGTTGGAAAAATAACGTCATCGACAAAATGTATATTATGAATGTCTTATGAGATGTAAAACTCTAACAAATCTCATACAAATGTCGAAAACGTTAGGTATCTGTTCTCGCAATTGGCACGGAAATATTCGTGATAGACCCTCTGCAGTTTTAGCCTTCGATAATGCTACCACACGTTTGTAATTATCAAGAATATCAAGATATATAAAGAGGAAAGAATTGTATTTTTGTGTCTTTGATTTCAAAAACACTTTCACCATTTAAAAGCTTCGTTATCCGTGAGTAACTTAGGTTATGTGTTTTATCACTTTTTAATTCCACACGGACGAAGTCGCGAGCAACAGCTAGTACCTCTATAAAATTACTGTTTAAACTGTATTAACGAGATTGTGTGAATATTTAGTAGTTTAACTGTAACATACTTTTACAGCTACGAATGACTCGACGGGGTCTAACGGCGGCGCGGGCGAGCCTCCGTCGGCGGCGGCCAGCCCCGACGCCGCCGCGCTCGTCGTGCTGCAGCCGCCCGCGCCGCCATACCCACCTTATGCACATTACGATGGTAAGTTATACACGAAAATCATCATCATCATCATCACCAGCTCAATATATGTCCCTACTGAGGGGGGAGCCTTTTTCTCTCTCACTGGGAAAATGCCTTTACGCATTCTCCCCGTTGCTAGGAGTGTATGTGGGACTCGTCAGCCAAAAGATAAGACGTGGCCAGAATACCCACTAAAAACCCAGCGGTGTTCCACCTGTCCGCCGATAGCTGGGCCACGGGAACACTCGCGCAATCTTTCGCGACCCAGCCAGGTCTGAGGGGGGGGAGCCTACCCTAAGTTGACTAGGCTATAGGCAACCGGGCTGGCTCACTAGTTGGTATAGACATAGTCATATTGTTGGTTAAATAATTCTGTTTAAAATTGCTAAGTTGAAGCGTAATGAACTTACCTGAGAGTGCAAAACTTGCAGTATTTTTTTTATTACTTATTACCTAAAGTCTTAAGAATATGTGTTAAGTGTATCTTACGTGTGCTAGGCGTAAAGAAAATAAAATTATTCTTATATAGAAATGTATATAATAAATAAGCTAATTTTATCTTAAAGTTTACTTTTTTACTTAATTACTTAAATGATTTCCGTAATTTTTTAACTAAATCACTTCAAACTTTTTAAACTCGAGGAAAACTCGACCACAACTTGAGCACTATCCGAAGCCACTCCTAACAAAATCCAATTTTCCTCCGATGCCTTTTAACGGAAATTTTATAAAAAAACTAACTTGATACAGTAAAATGGACTTTATGTTCGGATTGCTTGTTCTAAAATAGCATAACAAGGGCATTTTACGCTAGACTATGTGTATAGTGACACAAGATTCGCGGGAGTTTTACGAAATTACGATAAACAATAATAAAAAAGAGAATCTTTTGTATAGAAAAATAAATGAAAATAAGTATTAAATATAAAATAAATAAAATACAAGTATTAAATAAACAATTTAAGGTAAAAGTTTCACTTTATGTGTTATGCCAACAACAGTAACAATTTTGAGAGATCTTTAGAATCAAGAAATTCAAAATGTTTATTTTTTCATCTAAGTATAAAGCGAATTATTTTATTCCATACGAAAATAAAAATAAAAATCACAACTCGCTATTTCCGATTAACAAAAACACATAACAGCTTTCAGTTTTTAAAAATTCATGCCAAAATGTGAACGCATTTATAATACACAATACGCTTTCCGCGTTCTCTCACCAACAAAACCGCACCACGCTCAGTCTTCTAATCTACCGCAATCTGCTTACGCGGAGATGGGGAGACATCTTTAATAGCTCATTCGGGGCTATGCAAATAATTTTAGCGAGGGGAGGGAGACAGGGGAGGGAGACGGTGGGGGGCAGGGGAGAGCCATACGGGCTTTGTCTAAGACGAGTAACGAACCGTAGCGATCCGAGGCGTCTTCAAACGGGTTTGGAGGCTTATTTCGGTTATAAATATTAAAGTGTCATCTACAGGGTGGTTGAGAGTGGTTTCGCTCTATGTGGCGGGCAAGGGGCGTGTCTTGTATATTTTAAATACCTCAGAGGCGTGTCGTGTTAACTGAATGTTGGTATACTTGGATGAGATTATATGCTTGTTTTTTAAATTATAGACCGTGGAGACACTTCCATACCACTTTCTTATGTTAATGAACAGAATAGTTCTTCCTAACCCTTAAATGGTTGAATTTTCTTTTAAAATACGATAAATAAAGGGTAGTAAATTCAACATAAATCAAGGGAAAATAAAGAAAAAAATGATTTCTCAAAACAGTCTATTGTGTAAAGAAGAAAAGACTGATATATAAATGCATCATGCATTTAAGGGAATCATTTTTAAACAGTTATAGTAAGGTTTTTTTTTAATTCCAGGCACGACGACACTTGCCAGCGAGTACGCATATGCGGCGCCTTACTCCCAGTACTCGCCGTACGGCGCACCCTACTCACACACTACTGGCTTGCTGTCCAAGTGGTGAGTAAGAAATGTTCCAGTTTTTTTTTTAATTTTTTTCAAATCACTTTATTATTAGTAAATAGTAGGGGAAATGTACAATAAATTCAAGTATTATGTTAGTTAGTAAGGGATGTATAACTATGCTAGATTTCGCCCGAGACTTTGTCCGCGTGGAATAAAAAAATACAAAAGTGAGTAGCCTATATGTTCTTCCAGACTATCAACGTACATATAAACCAAATTTCATCGAAAGGAATTCAGCTGTTTAGGCTACAAACTCTTACAAACGTCCATCTATCCTTTCGCATTTATAATGTTAGATCGATGGTCTTTATAAATCTATAGTATGATCCTTTTTAGACCTCTAAACACAAGGGTCATGTTTTCGGATTGCTGTTATGATATTTTGATCAGTTATACTTGTATCAAATTGATTAAAACATCGTTTTGTAAACAAACATGGTTTGGTATCGTTAAATAAGTTAATTGTTTATAAAATTTAAATCCACCTTAATTCTAAATCACGTTCTCCCGAGACGTACTTCAGCGGAACCTTCGACCGCACGTACATTACGTTTCTGGTCGGATTTTACAGCCTTTAAACCGTTGGCCCATTTAACAAGTGGCGAGTTACAAATGGCCGCGTGTACTGAATAAATCTGTAACACTTTATCACGGCCGCTGCGAGCGCGCGTTGGCGGCTGCGGTTTGCCCGCCTTCTGCATTCTCTACATTCTTCATTTGTTCTGCTCGGATTTGTTGTTGAAACGGACGATTATAGCTGTACACCCCTTTACATAAAGTTATATTCGTATCAAGAGTGTAGCGAAGCGCGAAGTACAAAAGTCAAAAATGTATGAAACTGACACTAACATTTGATGTCACGTGCTTATCATGCTCATTCCTTATACGTTTTGACACATTTTGTTGATTCTTCTAACGATATAGCTAATCGAAAGTTAATTTGTCTAGGGAGGCTGCTATAGCTAGATTATAGCGATACACCTGCTATCGTGTGTCTTAATAAAATAGATTAGTTTGACAATTCACTTCAAATTTAGTAGGGATGGTTGTGTAAAATCATCATCAGATTGGATAAAGTTAAGAATGTGTACATTAGAGGAAGTTTGAAAGTAGCGCCAGTGGTGGAGAAATTGAGAAGCAAAAGGTTAGCGTGGTATGGACATATTATGCGACGAAATGATGGGGACATAAACCAGAAAGTGTTGAGATTGAATGTGGATGGCTACAAAGGAAGAGGAAGACCGAAGAAAGTATGGATGGATTGTGTGAAGGAAGATATGCTTAAGAAAGGAGTGGATTCAGATATGACGGCTGATAGAGACGTATGGAAGAGCAGCACATACTGTGCCGACCCTCCATAAGGGATAAGGGCAAGTGGATGATGGTTGTGTAAAATCAGTCATGAATCTTATCGATTTTCGATTTTTATTCTTATAGAAGTTGGAATCGATAGATTCATAGTTATAACTTATGGACTGAAAAAAACACTGCTTTCTCAAATGAATAATGACCATAACAAATAATGAGACTAAATAAATGTTTATTACTACTACAGCCGTACGTAATCGAATTAAATTTCGATATTATTTCTGTCATCGCTAAATTCTCTAAACTATAATAGAATTGTCCTCTAAATTAGTTGATAAGAAAATAATAATTTTAGTTGAGTTCGATAATTATTTAAACCGAATATCGATAGTTCAAAATTGTTCTCTGCGTGTTTGTTTCACTACGATACCTGTCTGTTAAGTACGGCATTTGCCTTCATACAAATTGAATTCGATACTTCATTTATCAAACTAATATATTTTATTTAGATAAACTATAGCTGTTGCTCCTGATTTCGACCTTGTGAAACTAAAAAATATTAATACAGCCTATGTTACTCATAGATAAATTGACTTTCTAAAAGTGAAAGAAAAAATAAATCTATCCACTTTATAATATCAGTTTAGATTAAGAAGATTAGATAATTATTGTTTTTGAACATTACCTAGTTAACGCATAATCTTTAGTAATTTATTAAATGCATAACATAGTAGAAGAAACCAAAGGTTTTGTTTCCATATAAAAAAGAAATCTAAACTAAGTTATTTCTTACTTTTATATAAGTAAACATAATTTTCAATCCTTGACTTCCCTTAAATCTGTTCAACTGTTTCCAATCTCCCCTTAAGCTAGAAAAACTTTAAAAGCGATCGGAGTAGAATCACTTAAATTTAATGCCCATAAGTTAGTCCCTTCCCGCGGGACCTCGCCCGGCCCTTTGTCTACACTCCTGAGGGAGGAATAAAGGAAAGTACGACAAATGTGCGAAAGTGCATTAATTTATTGTTTCAATTGATATTGTTTTACATTTAAATAGATTTCTAGAACAACATAAAAATTAAAAAAAAAAAACAGTTTAATCTAATATTATACTACGAGGGCAAAGTCGCGAGCAACAGCTCATCATCTTTCTCCTTATCCTACTCCCGTAGCGGCGCAACAGGTTGTTGTCCCCTAAATAACTCTATCATACGTCATCTGTCATCACTCCCTTGATCATGACACCTTTCCATTCATCTCTTTCTGCGTCTATCTCTACCGGTGTACCGCACTCATAACTAACGTTCTTGTAACAAGCGATACATCCCTCCTCATAACATGCCCCCATGCTAACCTTTTACTCCTTACCTTCTCAACCACTGGGGCTTCTCTCGAACTTCCTCTAATATACTCATTTCGTATCTTATCCATTCGTGTTACCACACATCCATCTTAACATTCGCATCTACCACTTGTAGTCTTCTTTCATCCGTCCTTTACTGCCCAACGTTCAGATCCATATATCATTACAGGTCTTACGACGGTTTTGTAAATTTTCCACTTTATTTCACAACTATAAATGTGAAACTTTAGGTGTATAAATGGATGTTTGTTATCAAGTAATGTCCAGAATTATTCAACAAATCTCGCTGAAATTTACCATAGATCTAAAACATAATCTAGAAGAAGGCATAACCTTTTTTAACGCAAGCTTAGTCGCGGACGATAGATATTTTATAAATACTCTGTTTGTATAAATACTATAAAGTATACCTTAAAATTTGATATGAGAAGTTTCTGAATTTATCTTAAAAATGATATTTGGGTCGTATTTTCTTATGTTTGTTTTTTCCGCAGATATCAACGGACGCCGTGCCAACAATAGCTGCCGGCGAGCAACGAACAAACAAAGTGATAGGACATTTGTATATCAAATTGTGAGTGTTCATTTAACTCAATCCATTCCTTTAGATAATCTCATATGTAGATATCAACGTATTATGTACAATTGTTAATCGTTTTTTTTAAACTTCCGCGGTCAGTATGCTACGAATGCTTTCTCAAAAATTGTTACATTTAATTTTATATTTCATTTATACTCATTATTTAGTTAAATTGAGAGAGCCAAAGTTTATAAGATCTTTCATTTAGTGTAAGATGTAAATAAATGTATGTTGATGGTTTTAAATGTAACTACATTTAATGACATAAATAATGTATTCTTTCATTTTCTTTACCTCAATTTAACTACAAATAGTATAGTTATTCTTAATGTTTAGTGAAATTCGATTTTATTTAGATGTCTTTTGCACAAGTGGATTATTTTCATAGTTTAACTTATTTTGTATTGTAGTTTCTTTTTTCATATTTATTTTCGCTCCCAAAGGAAGCTGAACGTCTAAAGGTCTTTTTGACCTCGAATTGTATAAATGAAATTACTATGAGATTAAATGTGTTTCCTTTTTTTACTTTTTTATATTAAATTAGCTTATTATTGTGACAAATGTATACAAATATAATTTGAACATTACAGATTAATATATTGATATGTTCAAAATGTTTTTAGTATTATTTTTTTCTTTTATTTAGATTCAAAATCTTATCTTTTCCGTCCATTATTTTATTAGTTAATATTATTTTGTAAATATCGCCTTAGTATTTACGTTGTTTTTTTTTTATTGTCTTTTTTCCGCAGCTAGAATATTTTGTATGTAACACATGTTTAATTTGTTTCAAAAACATTTAACATACAGTTTAGAGATGCGCCAAAGACTTTCAATATTGTAATATCTTAGATGTGTTTAGATAAATTACGCTATTGGCAAAAAACTCAGCTACACGGAATTACTAAAACACTTCAACGAATTTAGCAACAATTTTCATAAACCTTTTTTGATTACTGTATGACGTCATTACTAGCTTGAAATGTACCGTCAAAATAAAAAAAAAATTAGAAGGAATGTAATAGCTTTCGCCCGCGACTCCGTCCGCGTGGATTAAAAAAACAAAAGTGCTTATGTGTTCTTCCAGTACCTTCTACATATATGCCAAATTGCATCGAAATCCGTTCAGCCGTTTAGACTACAAAGTAACAAACATCCATCTAAACTATCATTTATAATATTAGTAAGATAATATACCGTACAATTAAACAAACGTACTAAGTCACATTCCAGTAAATTCTCAACTAATATTTTAAAGTAAGCCAGTATGGGTAGTAACGTCTCAAAATCAGCGGAATTCAATATCGCCAATTATACTGTCTTACTATACAGAATAAATATAAACAGCCTTACAGATCATATAAACTTTAAAATAATCATCAGAGTACTTTAAATCTAAGAAGTATGTGGATGGTTACAAAAGAAAAAGACCGAAGAAAGTATGGATTGTGTGAAGAGGATATGCTTAAGAAAGGAGTGGATTCAGATGACGGCTGATAGAGATGTATGGAGCAGCACATTAAGACCCTCCGTAAGGGATAAGGGCAAGTTAACTATGACTTTTTAAAATCTATACATATAATAAAGAGAAAAGATTTGTATTATTGTATGTATTGAAATAACTCAAAAACTAGGCATTTTTTACTATTGTATTTCACGTGGACGAAGTCTCAAACATCTAGTTATAAATACTATCATAATAAGTTAATAACAGTGGGTTTACATTGCCACTAATTTAACAAGTGACATTTATCTAAGCACATCTTTATATCTGTTCATACAATATAGCGTATTTACTATGCAATCTCATTTGCCAAAGATGCAAGGATCGTCTTCTAGGGTTTTAAATATTTTTATGTCTATACAGATGTAGTTAAAAATTGTATTTCAAAGAATATTTGTATCTTAAATAGATTCTTATTTGTAATTAGTTAATTAATTCCATTTTTTTATTGTAAAGGTTATCGCTCATTACACCAATTAGGTGACGCAAACATTAACCTAAATTAGTTGCGTCTAAAACTAAGAGTGTCAAAAGATTATTTTAACACGTTCCGTTTATCAACATTAAACTATGAACCAAGGATATCTGGAATATATCTCTTTTGTAGATTATCAACCCCCGCATCAGGGCTAAGACTACTAGCTACCGCACAAACAGATACCATCTGCAATCTCCCTGGCGTTGCCGAATTTCATGGGCATCAGATCATTTAAAAAGAAATCTGCTGCTCGTTTTCCCGCTTTTCCTATAAAAAAATCTTCTCGTAACGTACGGAACGTGTTAGAAGCCGAAGTTTACGTAATGTCTGTGGATAAATGCGATTAATGAGCGATGACCTTAATTGCCTAGAAGACGAAACCAGTGTAATTCTTCTTTATATATTGTTTTACATTATTCTTGTATTATTTCGCTTTTGATTATTCGAAAGCATATCAACTTAGTGATATACGCGTCTTTATAATAGATGATAATAATTCAATTTTGTTTTAATTTGTACTAAGTATATTTGTAAGGCAAACGCACCAGTACGAAATAAAGGCATATGAATTTATAAGAATACGTTTTATTTACATATCTAATGACCGGTTTCCTCAGCATTAAGTTGACTAAACTATCGCACAACCGTTTAATCTCGCTTGATTCCTATGAAGCGCACACTACTCGATTAGTTATGCAACTAAACAGTCGAATTGGCTACCAAACAATCGACAATCGCACAACTGTCGTGCGATAGTTTATTCAAAGGTATGCACCCGCTCTAACACTAAGGATTTGTTAAGTAATGCCAATATAAATGACAGCTTCAGTAACAAAACATTCTTTTGCAACTAAATGATAAAATACTAATGATAAACACTGACAATTACATATGGATAGGCTACAAGCCTATTTTGTGGTTGATTTTATACGATAAAACCTTTTATCATTAAGAAAAATAAAGCCAAAAGTCTTCCAAGCCATCGCCGATCCATTTATATAGAGATCAGTGATCAAGCTAAAATAATAATTAAAATAGGTCGCATATATTTTAATAGAATTTAAGAAGAAACTAACTGACAAAAAGAAGAAAGTACGTCAAAGTGACAATTATTTATTGAAAAAATTAACTAGTTTTATACTTAACATATTGAATAACAATGTAATAAATCAGTGCCAATACAAGTTATTGAAAAAAACCGTTTAAACAATGTAAATTTTACCAAGGTAAAAAAACATTAAGAACGATGTTCAGTCATCACCATCTGAAACTTAGTAGGGAAAATCTATCTACAAAATGAATAGACACAATAAATATATGGAATCGGATCTGTCCGAGACCTCTATGGACCAGGACAGTGAGGCCAGTTTGATTATCATACCTGATTCTGAAGACTCTAGAAATACTCTATACTCCACAACCGTAGACGATATCGATTCGAATTCCGGCAGGATCTTAGACTACGCACAAATTATACCAGATAAAAGAAATTGTAAATCAACAGAAACATCTTTCATAGAAGACAACATAATAGAAAATTATTCAAATTATTCCACCACTTTATCAAAAACATTAAGCGAAAATCTGTTTTATAGTCATGAGATTATAGAACCTTACCCTCAGACGTTCTCCGTTAGTCCTGCTAATTTAGAACAGCGTATTTCGAAGAATATACTCAATACAAATGTACTCAAAGGAGAAAATTCTTCTTACCTTACTATTGATTTAACGGACAACAATCAGCATACTATAGTTCCTTATCTATGCGGAAACAGTAGCCGTAGTAATGACGATCCAGCAAAGAATTATCAAAGTTCATGTAAATCAGATAAAAAAGAAGCCAATGCGTGTGAGGATAAAACTAAAACAGAAGTATGTGAAGGTAACACGAAACCTCCTAAACCAAAATCGTGTAAACTCAAAAATGATTCCAATATGAGTTTGGAAACGAAGAAAATTTGCGCAAGTATATTTTCTAGTACAAGCCTGGCGCCTAAACGGCCCGCTCCAGCGCCTACTGTAAGCAAGGATACCAAAGATATCTGCGGAACTACGGGTAAGAGCTCAAATAAAGGCGCAGATGCTGAAGTAAAACATTCTTGTATGACTAATGACCCGACGAGGTGCTGTGCAACCGTATTGAGAGCGCCAATTTGCGACCAGGATGCTTTGAAACCTCCACAAAAAAAGGAAGCAAGACAATCTTGTTGTTCTATCGCACCACAAGCAAAAAAATCTCTCTCCGATCTGCAAAAGTGTCCATACTCGGAAGAAATACCTAAATCTCCTGAATCCGATTCTCAAATTAAATGTCCATTTAGAGATCATTCGAAAACTGATTCCACTAGTGACCAGAATAAACAATCGGAATACCAAAAGTGTCCATTCAGAGACGATTCAAAATCAAGTTCTGGTAAACCTTCTAATTCATGTCCATTCAGAGATGACTCTAAATCTAACTCTCCGGATAGCCAGAATACTCCTGCCGGTCTAGAAAAATGTCCGTTCAGAGACGATTCAAAATCCAAACACTCCATTTGTCAAAACCAAAGCTGTAATGCCTTCTCTCCCCCTCCAGACAGACCAGATTCTACCACTGTAAGCGCTGAGAAAGTAATGAGTTGTACAGGGTCTGAAGAAAAAAAGAAGGAGTGCAAAAATAAACCAAGCTACTGCTCGAATACAATGATCTTAAGCGAGTCCGTGACTATGATTCAGGATCATTTCTCTGTTTTAAACCTCGACAAATGTCCGTCGAAAATCAACATGCAATATATGCGACCGGAATCTCAAGACCGACCGTCTAACTCAATCGACGAAGAGAAGATCAGCGCAAGCAATCTATTGACGGAGTCGCAGAGGAACATCAACGCGTATTACGGATTCAATAGCAAACCTCGAAACATACAAAACTGTATGAAAGTTAAAGTAATTCCTTCCACAGCACATTTAACACATAGCGAATTAAGCGTGATTAAAATGAAGGTAGATCGGAAAGAAACGATACCCATTAGTAAAACTTCGGATGATTTTACCTCGATGGCCAAAGGTTTCTTCGGATGTATTTATGCTAAAACCAAAGACGCAACCACTTATATAACACGCGAGAGTGTCAGACTTTTAGACGCGGTCAACCATAGAACTCAATCGTGCAACACGGATGACACACTAACACCTGTTAAGGTTTACGAAGACAAAAGCATCGAGACACCTTTGAGTTACTTGATGAGAAAGAACAGTTTACCGTTATCGATGGTCGAGCAAGGTCCGAGTAAGAATGAAAGAGCTAAACGTGGAACTAAGCTTGGCAAAGATTCACCACACGCATCATTTTCGACTGTTAATATTTGTTCTTGTAGTAGAAAATACAAATCACCAGACTTTTCGAACATCGCTATCCAAGAGCCACCGCAGCAAACAAACAGCATGTTCACAGCTATCAAGTCGAAAATTTTCTCGATCTTTAGAGACGATGATACAACGAACGGATCTTACAAGTCGAAAAATTCCAAATCCAGTTCACAATCTGAAGATTTGGATGACAGTGACGATAGTGAGACCGTTGAAAGTATGCTGCCAAAAAGAAACTGATCATTTGTTATTTTAATTACATATTGTAATTCAACAATTTTTTATCATTAAAGCATTATCATTAGCCTTTATACGTATACTTTTGGACATGGGGCTTCCTCAATAACGTCCACAGAATGCGGCCCTCCGCTTTCCGGATCCAACGACATCCCACCGTGCGCACTAAGTCGTCAGTCCACCTGGGTGGAGGGTGCCCTGCGCACCTGGTCCCCTTAATCTAATAGGTAGATAAGTTATTGGTAACAGTAATCAATATACAATTTCTTTGAAGGCAACGCACCTGGAGTTCTTCAGGTATTGCGGATGTCCATGGGCGTTGATGATTGTCTCTCTATTCAAATTTATTGCCCCCTACCCTTATACTTAAACTCCGTGATTTAAAACTAATTCAAGTTTTATTAGATAGTTATAAAATATTTGTCTAAAACATCTTTACATTTTCTATTTTATACTGATACAAATAATAAGATAACTTGGTTTCAAGTAATATTATTTTAATTGCTTAAAGTTTGTTTATAATCTTACCTCCTAACTTTTTTTGCACTCATAGAATTTCGCGAGAAAATCCACAGATAAAACTTACCACAGTAAATAATTTTGACACGGACCTTCATACTGGCAGAAACAACTGGCCACTTTCTTAATCCTCTAATCAAACATCTGTCTTTCATTTCTCCATTTCAATATTTATAATAAAAGCAAGAAAACATTTTAAATTATACCATGTAACTTTTATCATATTTCACATCCATCCAATTCAAAATGTCTGAGGATAATTGCAACGATAACAAAAATATGCAGATGAGATGTCTACCGTGTGTGATGCCGTATACTGAGGATATCGAAAATCTAGGACAAGCTGCTGCTAAGGGAAAGACTGGGAAGAATCAACCTAATGGTCAATGTCACGGAAAGATTGATGACGTAGACGGTTCATGTCAGTGCACCCCTGAACGACCTTGCTGCAATTTCGAAGACGTTGAGAAACCAGAAGAACCATAAAACATTGAACCAAACATTTCATAAATTATAGCTAAAGCAAAATCAAATCATGGACGATCTTACTTCTTGTCTATTAGATGAAGTAAAACGTAATGTAACTAAAAGAAATGACACAAAAGGTTGTAATGAAAATTATCGTTTGGGACTTCTTAAAGATACAAAAGTAAACAAGAATAGTAAGTTTTATCATATGCTATCTTAGCCCTACTTTAGACGTTAAAAACCAAGCTAGACGTTAAGAAAATATCCAATTTTCTTTTACTTCATGATTATTTAATACATATGAGTCTATTTTTAATTAGTGTAATTATTACATTTAAAAACAAAATCTTTTTCAGATACAAGTAGCGTCATCTATGTAAAGCCATGTGAAAACAACGATTCCTGCAGTACAAAGTGTAATTTCTACAAGAGGCATGTTTCCACACCGTTCCTCTGCTCGGAAAAAATAAAGAACCCTGTGATCGTAAAGGAGGAGGACAGAATCGAAGAAAATTAAATGTATAAAAGTACTGTGAACTACACAAGTGTAATAAAGTAAATTAATACTAGTAACTTTTTTAATTTGCGTTTTTGAATCACATTCTTCTACAGTCGTAGTTTTCAATTACATCAAATGTTGCAAAAATGTCCGAAACATCAGGTTTCTTGCCACTTTTTGTGTGTCGAAGAATAAAAGTGTTCTCTCCTTCTTAAGCCTTTGATCAAATATAGATGAAATAGTTTACCGAATCATTAACATCCATAAGGAAGAGGGTTCTAAGATCATAAAACTTCACCGTTCCGATGGTCCTCAAACTTTTAGATGTCTTTTCAACGTTAAATAAAGTAAATACTCTTTTAGCCTTCATTAACAGGCTATCAAAGACTGGCACATTCGAGTGGTTATCTCCTCCGTAAAAAGAAGACTGACATCTGACAAACAACATCACTCAAAAACCAACAGTAAATTTTCAAAATTAATAATAAACACAGAAACCATGATTGATATGCTCAATGTACCATGAAAACAAAAAAATGTCACGTAGAGCCAACCCCTGAACCTCCCCCGCCCGATCCGTGCCAAGTACAGAAGCGCAAACAGCTCGAAAAGGCTGGAGTGAAGATCTGTGAAAAGCCACCCGTCCAGCAGCCGCCGCCACCACCAGAGTGTACCGCTATCTGCATAGAAAAGGTAAAAAACCCACCTGTTCCAATAAAAATCCACGACCTACCGGTTGTGTGTGAAGTTAAGCGCCAGGTGACGGGAACCGCCAGGTGTGACGACGTTGAGGCCTCAGTAGCCGCGCACCCTGACCTGCCCTGGCCCGGCTGTGCGCCCACGCCCTCCATTCCGCCCCCACCTTCACCCGACCCCTGTGAGGAGCAAGCAAAGCGATTCAAACTAGAGGAGTGTAGAGAAAGAATGAAAAGATATCGAGAATAAAATGGACCCCTGCAAGGCCCCTAGAAAGAAAACGTCGAAGGATAAAGCAAAAAATCCATGCCAAATTAAGAAACCGTTCTTTGAAAATATATTAGATCGATTTCGTAGTAAAGAGAAAAACTGCCAAACTACAGTTAAGAAAAGATCGAATATAAATTTTGAGAAGCGCATTGCGAAACTAGAGAATTTGATAAAGAAGCTACAAAACGAGATTTGCGAGCTGTCGTCGAATGCAGAGACATCTATGAAGGAAATGCAGATGGCCAACCGCGCCTCCGACACCCCCTGTTTACCAGTTCAGGGTTCAGGAGCCAGCGCATACTCCTGTACGCCATGCCAAGTGAAGACCATCATCGTTAAAGATATTAATTTCACACGTGAAGATATCGAGAAAATAACTAACAAAATCCCAGAGCTACAAAATCTGTTTGATTTTGAAGAATCATGTTGTTCTTCTGAATCTAGAAATAATACAAGTGAAGACATGGATAAAGACGAATATGAAAACGTAATGGAGGAGGAAGTTGATAAATTAATATGTGAATTAAAATCTGAAATACGAAACAAACTTGGTTCCACGAAAGGCAGCGGACCCAAAATTATTGCTTCAAAAGATCAAATGGAATGAAACCGTACTCCCAAATCATATTAATAGTAATTTAAAAGTTGTTGTTTTCCTATATTTTGTTATGTAAATGATGACAAAACCATTGAAATAAATTAAAAAACTCAAATAATATTTCATATTGCGATCCTGTCTACTTCTCCTTGATTATTATTCTTTTGCAGTGGTAGTTTTTGTATTAGAAAAGCAGAAATTATTTGTGATCTTTGAAATATTACCTGTTTAGGGGCCTAAGAAATACAATTTAAATAAAAAATAAATAAATAAATAAATTTACGACAAACTCGTCAACAATACATACTATAAGTCTTAATGTCCGATAGAGGGCGCTGTAAAAATTGTTACTTGTCGCTTTTCATCAAGAGAAAATAAATCTCGGTGATATAAGAAATATGTTGTAGTTCTAACGCTTAACGGCCTCTGTCGTGCGTAAAGTGGTCGTTCTTAATTTTATGTTGATGTGCATTTCGCGATAATAGATGGCGCTTATTTCAACTTCATTTATTTCTTTAGGTTAATAAATAAAAAAATATGTTGTTTTAAAAATTTAATAGCACTAACAGTTATAGTATATTTTATACAAAATACAACATTAAAATATAATATATATACTTCGATAACATAATCTAAAGAAGCGATAGACAATGACTAGAAAACGCACTTTCTCATATAAATGGAAGAAAAACTAAGTTACACATTATATACTTAAGAATATCGAATGTTTATATGAAATACGTATGGAAAGATATACAGACAGCAAAAAATCGATTACAAAATATATAAATCGCACATTTTGGCACAAATTCATAAATATATTTCCTATTTCTTCAATTTTAAGGCACATTGCCGCATTACATTAAAAACAAATTAATAAATAGTAAGGTTTTTATATAATTTTACATAATTTAAATACATAAAACCTACATTTTTAAAACATAGTCAATAATACATAACTAACTAACATTTTTTTTTGTACAGTCGAGGAAATCTGCGGTGTGTCAATTTCAGAATTGCCTTGTTTCTTGCGAGATGAACTCCGCCTCTTACCTACCAATGGAGTACCAGTGAGTTGCACAAACTTGATATTTAGAAAAAGCAAGACACTCGCGTATAGACAAGGAGTGCCAATACAAAACGATGGTAGCATTTAAAAGTAACACCGCTAAATTACCCGACTGTACTTGTATAAACAATCCTTGTCGCAAAATTAGTATTTAAACATTCCAATAGAAAATACAAATTTCTTCATAGTCGATTTATACAAAAAACAATAAATATAAAAGTCGGCTTCTACGCCTCAAATATAAAAAGCCAATACATTAGGTGGTTTATAATCTTTATTAGATCCTAATATTATAATATTATTTGAAATTTAATAGATTCTATATTTTTTATTTAAAATTACATTTTGGGCACAATATGCGAGTTACAAAATTTATTTTTCTCTCTATCTCCATTTACCCTGAAATCTACAGGCACTCCGTCATCCAAATATTAAAAAAACGTGTTTTTTTTTTCATTTAAAAAACATAAAAAATAACATCAATAACTCATAAAAGTTAAAAAATCATGGAAGAAAAATATCATTGGTCATCATAGATTAGATACTCAAAATAATGTTTTTTTTTTTAAATCGAAAGTTTTTTTCATTTCAACATTGTAAACAAAGCTTTACATTTCCACACTAAAATTTTCTATTTACAAAATCAACATCTCTCGTCAGCACCAGCCCAGTCTTGGGCAGCCCAAAAACCCTAAACGGGTACAAAAAAATCCTACACGGTTGCCAACCAGTATAGGGTTAACTAGAAGCCAAAAAATATAATGCTGTTAAATTTATTTTTTTCTCGGAGGAGGTTGCATCGCTGGCTGATGGAACGGATGATACTGGCGGGCAAATATACTGTCCTGTAATAAAAAAATAATTATAACAAACCGCTCGTAAAGTTGTTGGGATTTTAACTAGATGGCGTTGTATTAAATTTGACTTACCACTTCGCTCGGTCCGTTCCCAACAGTTTTCATTTTCCGCTCTTGCAATATTATTTGATTCGCGGCGCTGTAAAAAGCACCCACATTAGGTATATAGTAATATAATCTGTTAGACAATTATGTTTTTTAATAGAGAAGAACAGTATGGATATTTTTTTTTTAAATTATGGTACAGAATAGAATAAATCTTTTGATGTTAAAAAGAATACATGAAATCCTCAGGTAATTAAAAAAAATCTCATAAGGGTGGCAAACGAGCAAGTGGCCTGAATCCACCGAAATGACTAAGCGACCGCATTGACATCCGCAATTGCAGATGAGTTGCTGACCCTTAATCGAAGGAGGAAACACACATAAAGAGGATATTTCCCCTTCCTATGCGCCACCACCGTCAGATCCACGTTTCCTTATCATGTTTTCCTCTCAAGAAAAGGAGAAAAGGGACTTGAATAATGCCTCTATTATCATCATCAATAAATATAAACAAATCCTCTCGCAAAGCTAGTATGTAAAGTCCTCACGTGTCCATCTCCTCCTGTGTGAGGTCGAGCGCCTCCTGCATCTCGCGGGAGGTGCTCTGAATGAAGTCCTTATCGCAGTACTTGCCCAGACCCTGCTCCATCAGTACCTGAAAGTATACCATGGTAATGGTCCTTAATTCAACGTTCGTTACAGTCCATCGTGACCGATACACTTATTGTTGTCTCTGTTTTCTCAAGCAGGATGAGAGAGATGACAAGATTTTATACACGTTTTTCAATCGAAACCCTTAGTTAAATTTACGTGCAGCATCTATAATGTACTCGACCGTTGTAATGTTAAGACTAAGGGTTGTCCCACCACTGTATGATAGAAACTCAGATAGATTTAAAATGACATCACTGTCAGATAAGAGAACAAAAACCAAAATTTTCATCACACGATGGATTGTTATAAGACAATTTACAATTTGATGGGACAGGCCTTAAATAAGTGACAGGCGTCACGTCAATATATTCTGTAATTCTGTTACATGTTGTGACAAATTCTTTCCAAATCCTCTCACACTCTTTATAATGAAACTAGCTTTTTCCGTGCGGCTTCAACTACATGAAATTGTGAATTTTATTGTTTACATTTGTCAAATTATTAATTGCAAATGTCAAAATGACATGACATGACAAACCTTGGCAATCTTGCTTCCTTGATGTTGGCAACAACTTATGGTCTCTTTCCAACATTGGGGTTTTTATCCAAAACATTTACCCCCTAAGTTTAAAAATATATAGCCTAAAGCGTGTCGTAAATGTAGGGCTTTTTGTTAAAGTAAGCATTTTACAAAAATATCCTACGCTACGAAGTAGTATATGTTTACGCTTTATTATGTTAAGTATAGAGTATATAAAGATGTCAGGACTACTTACTCTGGCGATAAGGTTCTCCGCTGGATTCTCTACACAATAAGGCACGGCGTCGTTCTGTCTGGGTTTTCTGTCACGATCTGTGAATAACAGTAACATATGCAGTAAGCAATTATTCTTATGGTCATCGGTGAAGCAGTTTTAGTCTCAAAACAAAGTTTTTTTTTTTTTAAATATATCGAAGTAAGAAACAAACAAGAAGTACTAGGACTGTTGTTAACGCTAACAGCATGCTTAATAGACCACATTCGTTTGTTTGTTGATAATGAAGCATTTTTTTAGATTTTGTACAGGTTAACACTATTTTTGGCTTAACACTGAGATGCTTAAAAATAGTAAAATGATCATTAGTTCAAACATAAATAAAAGTTATTACACATTTTTAGTAACAATAACCGTCAATACAATTTTAGAACGTGGCTGATGGTGAAAAAAATAAATATACAAATGCAATAAAAAAAACATAAAAGCAATCATACTTCTTACTTTTTACTAATATTATAAATACTACTCGTAATATTATAAATGCGAAAGTTTGGATGGATGTTTGTTAGAGTTTATAGCCTAAACTGCTGAACGGATCTCGATGAAATTTGGTATAGATGTAGAGGAAAATCCGGAAGAACACATAGGCTACTCACTTGTATATTTTAGTTCCACGCGGACGGAGTCGCGGGCAATAGCTAGTATATTATAAATGCGAAAGTTTAGATGGATGGATGTCTGTTAAAGTTTGTAGCTTAAACTGCTGAACGGATCTCGATGAAATTTGGTATAGATGTAGAGGATAGTCTGAAAGAACACATAGGCTACTTGCTTTTGCTATTTTTTAATTCCACGCAGACGGAGTTGCGGGCGAAAGATAGTATTATAAAAAAGCGAACACATAAATGAAAATAAATAAGAAGCCAAAAAACATAGTTAAACTAAGATGTTAAAATAACACAATCACAACACACTAAAACTAACTTACGGTTGTTTCTCATATTCTGGATTAAATCGTTGGATGTTTTTCTGGAAACGTCAACGTTATTCAATACTCAATACTGATGTCATTATTTGAATAACTCCTTTAGTTAAACGGAGTGCGTAAAATTATCAGTAATATATCTATTAAGATAATAATAATGGATAATAATGACCCAGTATAAAGTAATAAATATTTTAATGTGCCATGATGTGACAAAACATATACAACATTTAAGGAAAAACTTAACAAAATTAAAGGAAATATACAAAATTACGCAACTAAATTTAGAAAAAAGTAATATACAGATATCTGAAATAACAAGTTATATATAATTCGGGTTAAGAAAATATTTAGGGCCTGTCTCACCACTGGCTGAAGGCTCAGATAGCTTAAACACGTCACAGTTAGATAAAGTAACAAAATCTGGTATTTCCATCACATATTTTACAGGTTGGATTATCAGACAATTTACAATTTGGTGGGACAGATCCTTAATAAACTATACCTTTTTATCATTACTTAGATCATTTACTTCAAGGTCTCCTGTAGTATTCATTTCCTTGCAATTTTCTTAACCCTTATTAGAATTAACTAATAAAAATCTACTTACTCAATAACTCTGAATATTCTCTCCGAGTCCTTTCCATGCAGTAAAGGCTGCATGGCTATCTCTTCATCACTTTGATGACCATCATCAAATTTCCTTTATACAAAAGTAATAAAATTCCATTTGTATTAGTATTTAGGAAAGCTTTTGATGAATATGATAAAAGAAAATTCTTTGTTATTATGAAAAAAACATATACAATTTAAAATTTTACAGTAAAAAATAAGTCTTTGTAAACAATTCCAATAACATCTTTCAATAATTTTATGTGTAAATGAGTTTTCCTTATAAAAATTGTCTGGATTCCACAGGGATGATTCTTTGGACCATGACTATTTATTATGACTTATATCAGAGTTTTTATCGGATTTTCTTCCTTACTGTAAAACTAATGGAAATTATCTTATTCTAGAGAATACTTACGAATCGTCTTCTGGCATTTTTCCGTCTAATCCCAATTCTCGTTGCATCATCAAACTAAGTGATTGACCAGCCTTAGATGCTCCTGAAATAGTACAATCTAGATAAATACGGAAAAAGAAGCCACGACCAACACCAAGCGAGGACTACATCAAATGGAGGTCCGTAGCATCTGCCTACCCCTGCAGGTTACGGTCACCTTTAGATTTTTTATTCCTACCTTTACTGGTTGTTTTCCTCTCAGGCCGAGGCTCTGGTGGTTTGTAGAAACCGTCTCGACCACGTTTCTTGAAGGTTGTCCACACAGCTCCGAATAATGTATGATTGCGCTGTAAGATTTTTCTACAGTTATAAAGAATCATAAATAATAATAATTTTAGACAGCATTTGAAGATATAATGCTCTCGATGACAGACATGACACAGATTCAAAAAACATGTAAACGAGGCATAGTGATACTTCTTTCGAGTCATGTTTCACATGATCCATTAACGCTATCTACGAGTATTGGTTAATCGTCACAACCAGTCAATATAACAAAAGACGGAGATTTTTATTGTTTCTTGAAATATCATATCAAAACTAGAACGCGAGGTGGCTTACTAAAATTGACAACTGATATAGTACCTTTCAAAGAAAGTACCGGTGAAAAAATTTTGTTTATTACCTCGTCTGTATATTTTTAAACGTCTTTGACTCTATATTAATGGAATAAGGGAGACATTAGAGCGTTTTTAACTCACCCTATGCATTGGTTCAACAGCTTCTGGAGTAATCTCATCCAGGTTTCCAGAGATAGCTCGTTTGAGTTCAGGTCCTGCTTCGTGTAGAGTCCTTAGACCTGCTTGTAGTGTCATCTGATTGTTCTGAACTGAAGCTGCTGCAGCTTGCTCTTTACGTTTCCTAAACCTGTCATACCAAATTATGTAAAGACCAAAATTCTTGTAATTCGGGAATTTTCGTGTATTAGTAAAAATCTTCGACATTTGAAAATGAAGTGCCAAAATTTGGAATAAACCTAAAATTTTGTATCTTTTTTGTACATTGATTAAAGATTACCTCTATTCCAAAAACATGTCTTCTCTATGTGAATTTAAATCGATATGTTAGATGAAGCCAATTGTAGTAAACGCCTTTTCACATGCAAATCCTGAACACAATATCACGCTAGAACACGTAAAATCAGCAAAACAAAAGTGATCGGACGAATGTGCAATAATCGAAAGCGAGTGAACAACAAAATGTTACACAAGGAGAAAACATGCTTTGGAACGTTTTGATATTATAATTGAGAAAAACATGCTGTGACTGTCCAATAACAATGAAATATCCTTAAAAATGCAGAAAAGCTGAAAATAAAACACTTTGTGTATATAAAAATACAATCATCTTTAACTAAAACAATATAACAAAACCAAACCTACATTTGATGTCCTAAAAGATTCCGAACAAATATAAATTAAATCGATTTTTATATCATCGATTTCATCACATCCCTAGTTATGTCATACACTAGATAGTGATAAAATAAATCGATTAATCGATATACAACTAACATAGATAAGGTTTGTTATAAAGGCGATTGTATCAGTGTAAGAGAGCATTCACAATCAAAACTTCGAAAAAAGGGTAGAAAACTGTGAAGCCAGGCCTCGGGTTCATCAGAGCGATGTCACATTATCGATCAACAAACACCGGGGCACAAAAGCATAAATACAGCGTATTTTGATTCGGAGTTGCTTAAACTTTGATTCACTTACGCATGGTTCCTATAAAATAGAAATAATTCGTGTTAATTTTGATTACAAATATTAAACTGGGAATCGAAGAATTACATACTTTATTGATTATTTTTCAATCATCAATTACTTGTAGGTTAAGATCGCACACCTTTGACTAAACTATTGCTCAAGTCGTGCTTTGATTCCTATGAGCCCAAATGAAGCGCACACTACTGGATTTTTACTTTTTTTAACTAAACAGTTGAAGGCTACGAAACAGAACAGTTGTGCGATTTTTAGTCAAAAGTATGCTCCCGCTCTAAAGATCATTTTATACCAAGAATGAACGACGATAGGTAACTAGTTAAAATTTGAAAGAAAAACTACATATTATTAACAATTCTATCGACAACTGAGATTTTAGTATATAGTCAGTAATTACTTTTAGAATTCTACTTTTGATAGAAGACAATAAATACTTGCATACCTTCTGAAATAATCTTGTATAAGGAAAGTTGCATAGAACTTGCCCACAGTTATTTCATTGGGATCTCCTGGAGGTGGCACCACTTGGTCTAGAAGCTTCGGTGACGTTCTCTTCCAGATCTTTTTGATGATAGCTCTCAGTTCCGTGTTACACTCGTCTATGACTCCTGTTTTATTAGAATAAAGCATATTAATCTCAAATTATACTGTGACCTTAACCATAAACCTGATCAAAGTCATTATTTTAGAATGGTAGAGCCCGTTTTAACATCTTCGCACTAATGGGGCGGCTCGCCCGGTGTATTACCACGACCACACAGAAGACAGTCGTGAAGTGGGAGTAATCCCGCGTTTTGTCTGATGAGTGTGAGGCCTAATTTTAGTCCCTTTCTCGTTCCACCATTTTCTTATAAAGAAAGGATTGAATGGGAAAGTGGATTCGACGCTGGAAGAGACGCATAGCAAGGGGAAATATCCTCTTTTTGTGCGTCTCCCCCTAAGACATTTTGATTAGGCAACGCATCTGCAATTCAGGATGTCTATGGGCAGTGGTCGATAGTCATTTTGGCGGATCTAGGTGGCCGCTTGCTCGTTTTCCACCTTATGATATAAAAAAAAGAATTAATTCTGAGCAAGTCGTGTCTTCCGAAAAATAAAACCAGAGTTTAAGGTAATCGTCGAATTGTTTTACAACTTACTTTGGGTTATACGCTTATTTTATTAAAACTAGATAACACTATCGCAGTTTGAAAGAGGAATGAGTTTAAGATTAAATGTGGCTACAAAGGTAGAGGAAGACCGAAGTATCGATTGTGTGAAAGAGGATATGCTTAAGAAAGGAGTGGATTCAGAAATGACGGCTGATAGAGGTGTATGGAAGAGTACATACTGTACCGAGCATCCGTAAGGGGATAAGGGCAAGTTGATGATGAGTTTGAAAGAGGAAAGCAATATATCTGAGATCCAAACCTGTAGTTTTGATCTGCAGCTGTGTTCGCACAACAGCAAATAATGTAGCATTGAAGTTGACAGTACCATCGGAGTTGAGAGGCATATTCATTGAAACTAATCGCTTGCACGCTGTACGATGTGGACATAGCTTGCCGAAACCTGAGAAAATAATAGTTAAGAACTAACAAATATTTGCAGAAAGCTGTTCGATTGATGAACGACTTCTACAGCCTTACAAATAAACGCGGTATAAAGTTAAACTTAGGAATAAACTGAGTATAAATGTTAGTACAAATTTTTAAAAGCAAAATTTGTACTATAATATTTTCTTATACTCAGTTTACTTGTAAGGCTTTATTCGTAAGGCTGCTAGAGTTTTATGACAGAAAATTACGAAGAGATTTGACTCGTATCTGAAAGTCCAATTATAAAATGTTATTACCTAAAGGCGGACTAATTTTTCTCAACAAAGTAACCACGTCCAAATGCTTGATCCTTCCTTTTGCATCTGGGTCATATTCACTCCATAACCTGTAAAATAAATACAATAATTTCATCTACAAATATCTACACTTAAATGATTGTAATAAAAAAAATAAAAGCCTATACCTGACAAATTCGTCCAAATGATGTGGTCCCAATATAGACCAATCTCTCGTCAGGTAATCGAAGTTATCCATAATAACTGCCACGAACAAATTGATGATCTGAAATTTTTAGACATTTAGAGCGCGCGCACACCTTAGATTAAATGGAATCAAAGCGAGACTTAACAACTGTTAACAACTGTTAAGTCTCGCTTTGATTCCTATGAGCTGATATGAAGGTTCGCACTACTCGATTTTTAGTTGTGCAACTAAATTGGCTGCGATACAATCAACAATCACACAACAGTTGTGCGATAGTTTATTGAAAAATGTAAACCCGTTCTTAAATATATTGTTACTTAATTAATATTCTTCTTCTTCTTCGTATCTTCATTGCTGAAGGTCGTGCTCGCCCTGGTACGCCTTTACCGTTTCATCTACCAGCTGCCTCCACGCCGCCCTGTCTTCGGCACGTCTTAGGGCAGTCGGGATGTTGAGTCCCAGTATGGACTGCACCTGATCGGTCCATCGGGTAGGTGAACGCCCTCGTGACCTTTTACCCTCGATTTTTCCAACCACTACCAGTTTGTCCAGATTGTCCGGTTGTCTTCGAGCAATATGTCCAAAGTATCCCAGAACTCGTCGGTAGCATATTGTGAATAGCCTGGTAGATATTTTACTTAATTAATATAGAAAGATTAAAAAATCTACTAACCAGGAAAGTACAAAGCAGAGAGAAGGATATGAAGTAAGGGAAGGCGAGGATAGTGCCGCAGACTTCTTCAGAGATGTCGGTGGCGTTGCCGATGCAGCGGACCTGCTCTCCCGGCAGCTCCGCGCCGTTGGGGGAGAGAGACATCATTATGTCTTGCCATGCTTCACCTGAGAACAACAGTTCAGAACTCGAAGAACAAAACTTTTTAATCTTACGTTTTACTAATATTATAAATGCGAAAGTTTAGATAAATGTTTGTTAGAAAGTATCTCCGAAATTGCTCAACAGATCTAGATACAATTTGGCACAAATGTAGAACATATTCGAGAAGATTATGGTATATTTCATTACTCGAAAGAAACTCACGGGCAATAGCTAGTTAAAAATATTAGTTCACCTGTAGCAGATCTAAACAAAACCATTACTGCACCGCCGAAAGTTCTGAAATTATTGTTTCTTGATATTGTATCCGAAAACTCCACTCTGCCAAATAACTGCAATTTTAAGTTTCTATTAGCACATTTAGTAAACAAAAGAAATCCGAGATAACGGAAAGTAATAAAGGTACCTGCATCCCAACCACAGCGTAGATGAAGAACAGTAGAACAATCAGTAGAGCAACGTAAGGTAGAGCTTGAAATGACTTTATAAATGTCCACAGAAGAGTTCGTATTCGTTCACCTCGGGAGAGCAATTTAATCAAACGCATCGCACGAAAGAGACGAAAGAATGTGATATACTTCAGTCCAATTGTTTGAGTGTTCTGGAAAATGATAATTTAAATTTGAGTATTATTGAAAATTAATTTCACAATTCTGAGATTTGAAAACTCTCATACTCAAAATTTAGCAGAATTGTGGCTCAAATCTTTCATACTTCTTTACATTTCCATTCAACACAATCATTAAGTACCAATAAAGCTTCAAACTTTTTTAAAGTTGGCAAAGGAGCTAACAACCAATTGGTATAGCCAAAAATAGCGCAATGATTGTTGTCCACATCTGCAGTTACAAATGCTTTGCCAACACTTAACATCAAGCATCATCACCAGCTATACGTCCCCACTGAGGAGCTCAGAGCCTACCATAAGTAAATGGTGACTATGCCAGTCAACCACGTACAGATTTGATCATACACTATCCCCACATTCTTTCAAGAAGCTTGACTTATCAAAGTGTAATAAATTTAATTAGATTAATCAAGTAGACATACGGACAAAAGAAGAGGAAATGGAAAATATAGTTAGGTTTGTGCTAAGATATTCTAAAATTTCCGTATTAAATGATTATCCAAAATACTACAGGGTTTTATATATTTTCAAATCTCATACCTCCTCATTTCCGTTAGATGGAATTATCTGAAAATTTGAACAGGACGAAATTATTTAAATCAGTTTCTAATAATACCATATTCAGATAATTTATTTCTCACTATTATCTGGTTACATTGTTAGCAACCAGAATAAATCGTCCTTCAATAAGACGAATTATTAAAACAATTGAACTATAATCCTATATTCAGAGAATGTGCAAGTTAGTAATAGAATAAAAAAACTAGAAAAGAAAAAGAAAACAAATAAAAGAGAGACAGTTTACTTTAAAAACAACTTACACCGCCGGGCATCAATTTGGGGTTATTTTCATTGGCTTGCGTTACCACGATATCTATAATACTGCCCACTACTAATATGAAGTCAGTCGTGTTCCAAGCGTCACCAAAATAATTCTGAAAACAAAAAATATGGCATCAAAATTGTACATAGCACATCTTGACTGAAACCTTCCCTTATTGTACAAAAGTACTAGTGTATACTAATGTTATAAAGAGGAAAGATTTGTACTTTTGTATTTATTGAAATAACTCAAAATCTACTTGACCTATTTCAACAATTCTCACACCATTAAAAAGTAACATAGTCTATGTTTTATTCATTTTTAATTTCACGTCACACTTCTTTATATAGAGCTAATGATTTCAAATTTCATGCTATATCCAACCTTTGTTATGAGATGACACCCAAACAATTTATTGTTAGTTTTGTATTTGTATTGTGCAAGGCAGTTTAGAGAATGTCCACATAAAACTAAACCCGTTTGAGTAAGAAGGTTTTTCAAAACGCCACACGGACCATTTAGTCAAGATTCCTTAGTATTATTTTTTTTAAGTGGTAAAATAACTGGTCATATAGAAGGACTGACCTAACAATAAAGGTTTTTTTTTTATTTCGTAAATATTGTTATTAGATTTTACCTTGAAACGGAATGCTGCCAGTTTGAAAATAAATTCAAGCATAAACACCGTAGTTAGGAGCATGTTTAAGTAATCTAATACCTGAAATAAAAAAGCTTGCATAAAATTTGTAACGTGATTTAAAATTAAAAAGATGGTCTTTGATTAATTTCTCTTTTTAATTTTTTTTTTAACATAAGGTGGCAAACGAGCAAGCGGCCACCTGCAGCCGCCAAAATGGCGAAGCGACCGCTGCCCATAGACATCCTCAATTGCAGATGCGTTGCCTACCCTTATCCGACGGAGGAGGAGACGCACATAAAGAGGATATTACCCCTTCCTATGCATCTCCTACACCGTCAAATCCACTTCCCCTTCCCATCCTCTCCTTATAAGAAAAGGGTGGTAAAGAGTAAGGGACTTAAATTAGGCCTCCGGCACCACACTCATCAGATGAAACACGGAATTGGTTCCATTTCACGCCTGTTTTCTGTGTGGTCGTGGTATTACTTTGGGCGTGCCGGCCCTGCAGTGCTAACATGTTAAAGTGGGCACTACCATTGTTAATTATTTGATTTATTTCATCATCATTAGCTTTTATTTGCCCATTGCTAGATATACGCCTTCTCCGAAACTTTCAACAAAATGCGTTCAACCTTCCGTATCCAACGACTTCTGTGTCCACTATATTTTTACTTACTCTGGGTGTGTAATTCCATGCAGAAAGTCGTTAGCAGAAGATTTTTTTAAATAAGAATCATCGTCTTCCTTCTTATCCTACTCCTGCAAGGCTTAGCAGGTTTATTTTCCACATAACTATATTATAACATAGAATATTGACAAAAATTTCATACCCTCTTATATTCCGGAGAAGCGTTGTGAAACTTCATCATAAGAGCGATGGTGTTCAGCACAATGAAGAAAAATATGACGTATTCGAAGCGCGGTGACGTCACAAACCACCAGGTCTTGTACTGGATACGGTGCTTCGGTATGTATCTGTATGGAAGGATTTAAAAATCAATTATTATTATGTTTATTAATGTCTATATTAAGACATGTTCATTTGCATTTAAGGATGTCTATGGACAGAGTTGCTTCGTTATTTTGGTATTCAGTTGGTGATTTGGATTGTTTGCCGGCGTATATTAAAAAAACTGCACGAGTGTTTGAAAATTGCTTACACGTGAAATTTATAATTTACCTTCTAACAGGCTTCGCTTTGAGAGCGAACTCAATGCAGTTCCTTTGATTTTTATCCAGTTCGCAGTCTTTGAACTCCTGCTCACCCTCCTTTTGAAATGTCACTATGACGAAACCGACGAATATATTGACCTGAATTAAGAAATATTAACAGACATTAAAGTAATTTGCACAATTTACAGAGGTTTTTAAATAAACCAAATCAATAAAAAGAATAAAGTATCTGTTTTTTTTATATCTAGTAATAGATGAAAGTCTATTATATACTTCGTTTCGCCCGCGACTGCGACCGAGAGGTAAAAAAAAAACAAAAGTTAGTATCTCATATGTTCTTCTAGACTGTGCCATATTTCATCGAGATCCGTTCAGCAATTTATTCGACAAACTAACATCCATCTCATAAACTATCGCATTTATAATATTAGTATGATGTTTAATAAACCAAAAATAAAAAGCTATATTTACCATGAAGAACGCAATTACAATAATATAACTGATGTAAAAGAACGCTACAAGTGGTCTAGAATTTTCTATTGGTCCGTGATCCTCGTCGTTAGAGTCCATTGACGTTGAAAGTAATCTGTGAAATTATAAAAGAACTACATACACTGGTAAATCTTAAATATCCTTAAAATTTAAACACAATTCTTAGATTGTTTAGTATGTAAATATATGAACCCTAACAAAACAGAAAGATTATTTAAGGAAGAAAACGAGCCAATTTATTCCTGAAGTATATTACAAGGGAGTGATAACTGAGATGATGGATGATATTTATTTGGAGGACGAAAACCCGGTGCGGCCTTACGGGAGTAGGGAAGGCAGGGGAGATGATGATATTATAGCTACAAAACAAAGATGACTTTATGGTCAAGATAGAGTAGATAATGCAATTACTCTAATGACAAGAACAACTAATAGTAGCATGTAATTTCAATACTTACATTGGCCAGCCTTCAAACGTAGACACAGTGAATAGAGTAAGCATTCCGTTAAGAACATCATCGAAGTTAAATTTATTCTTCATCCAAACTCTGTCCTGTATAGATGGTTTCTGATTCTCATATACGAGGTAAGATCCTCTAAAATTAATATAAAAGTGCATCATACTCGTTAAAATTATAAATTCTTAATACCATGTACGTGCCCTTATCCCTTATGGAGGGTCGGCACAGTATTGCTCTTCTATACATCTCTATCATCCGTCATATCTAAATTCACCCCATTTGTCGTCATATCCTCTTTCACACAATCAATCCATGCTTTTAACTGTATTTCTACTTTGTAGCCATCCACATAATCCTTTTTTTAGTTGTGAAATTCAAATATAAAACAAAACTCTCATCCCTCTAAACATAGTAATAAGATTCTTTTAGTATCGGCTGTGATGCCATAAGTTCTTCCATTTAATTCAAAATTTCGAACCATAAAGTGGAAGTAATTAAAAAAAAAATTTTCCTTACCGGCATTCTTGTTCTGTGACTTTGGTTATATCACTGCATTTAAAAAACTTCCCCTGAAATCAAACTTGATTTAGAAAATAAAAAAATTCAATCAAATGCATAAAATAATCCAAAACAATCACCTGACCTCGCTTCGTTAACACAAAGCAAAGCACAATTAGCAAGGACATTGCAAAGTAAACCTTAAGACTATAACAATTAAGGTGACAAGGACAAAAACATACCTTAAACAACTGAATGCCCAACACAGCAAACATAAATTGCAACATATGGTTAATAACGAATATGTTTCCGATAGATTTAATCGATGCAAAAACACATTTAACAACATACTATTTATTACATATTTAATAATCATTCCACATTCAACAATTACATTACCGGATGACAAGGTTTTTCCACCAGTTTATGCCAATATCGTTGAATATTTACATGTGCAACAAAATGAAACAAAAAACAACGTTAGAAACTTAAAAAAATCAAAAACGGAATTTCGCCTAAACAAAAAAAGAAAAAACGATCAAAAAATTGCCAGTGTCCTGATCTGACCGTTAAAAAGGTACAAAAAAATAAAACACAATAATAAAAGTACCTCACTCGAACTGATAGAGCGAAAATGTCAAGGTAGGGATTGTGCAAATTAAACACAGTAAAGCTTTTTTACTCTTTTCTGAGTCCAAAAAATCACATTTAAAACAAAAAATGAACACCACAACACCTTTGGGCTGTTTTATTATTAAAAAAACACAAAACCATGCAAAACCTATTCAGCGATATTTTGGACCCACGGGCAAAAGCGAAAAAAAAAAACAGGTTGTTAGTAAAATCTATTTTTCGTAATAAAACGAACAAAAGCCGCACACACACGAAACGAAATCAGATGACTTATGGCAATCTGTACTAATTTCTATCATGAATACTTACTTCGAGATATTAAAAAAGATTGACCCAAAGGTGTCGTTAACAGAAAAAAAATTGACAAAAAAATTTGCAAAAAAAAAATATTTTTTAAATGTAAAAATATCGTCGACCCTACCTTGAACATTTGCACCCCCATTACCGCGAACATGAATTGAAGAAGATTTGTCACCAGCAAAATGTTGCCAATTGTTTTTATAGCGACAATCACGCACTGAACTACGTGCTAGAAACAATTAATAAAAAAAGAATTCCATTTACAAATACTAGAATATTACCTAATATATTTGTACCATAATTATCCATAAACTGACCTTTAGTCCTTTAGCTCTGTTGATTGCTCTTAAGGGCCTCAAAACTCGAAATACTCGAAGAATTTTTATGAACGACACATTATTTGACCTGTTAACACATAAACGTATTATTTATTTTAATACACTTAAAACTTAAACAACTACTTGGGTTATCTCAAACCCTGATTTATATCGGATACTTTTTACCGAGAACTGTAAATATAGAGTATAAAAATGAATAGATTTATTGACATAATGTCCTTTTGCTTAAGAGCTAGAGAATCTTGGATCTAAGTTACATGCATATGCATCGCCAGATGGAGGAACAGTGACCCCATCCCTCCCTCTATTCCAGAATCGTAAAAAGGATATTAAAGAGTAGACCAAACTGTCTATACATAAGTTTCAAAACCAAAAATAATTGAATAATCATTTACTAATCTCGTTGCTTAAGAATAATTAAGGAGAAAATAATCTGGACCCTTACCCAGTAAGCGAGACGAGGGAGACGATAACGACCAACAAGTCCAGTAAATTGAAAGCTGAGCGACAGAAGGCATCCTTGTGCAATATAAAACCATAAGTAATAAGCTTCAATATTAATTCTATTGTGAACACTGTTGTGAAGAAGTAGTCGATTTTACGAAGGATCTGGAATTTAAAACATATATTAGTTGTCATATAAGTTAAATCTGAAAATGACCCAGACAATAACAATAATAATAGTTTCGGTACACGGGCTAATAGCGAAGAACTTCGAACAACACCTCAAGAAGCTCTCGCTAGACAGTTGGATTAAGGGCCCGATTCAAAAGGCGGTTATTTTAGAAACCGCACGAATAGTGAGGAGGTTCCTGTCTCTGCAGCCCTGACCACTGGTTGCTTGAGTCATCGGATTCCGCAGCCGGTGGGGCTCTATTTTTTATATATGTTTTATTTTATTTTTACATCAAATCTTGTAAAATGAATTATATAGAGAATAAGAAATAAAGATATATGGACAATAATAATAGAAATTGAAATTTGTGAAAAATAACTTCAGAGTATAAAAGTTATATCAAATTAACAGAGGCTATGTTTATTACGTAGAATTTATTACTTTGAATAAACTATCGCACAATTGCTTAGTCTCGCTTTGATTCCTATGTGCTTATATGAAGGTACACAACTCGATTGTTAGTTGTGCAACTAAACAGTTGAATTGGTTGCGAAACAATCGACAATCGCACAGCAGTTGTGCGATTGTTAATTCAAAGAAGCCTGCTCTACAACTAATTTACTAAGTATTGAAATAAACCTATAAAAGAACCACAAAAGAGAATCAAAGTTACTACTAATGAAAAAGCCATAAGATCAATAGATAAAAAAAAACAAAGTTATTATACTACCTCGTTAGTAACTCCAGTAGGCACGGGCTCCTCCATAGCCAACATAATAGACGACGCCAAAATACACAGCAAGATTAAATTCTTGAACCACGAGTTGTTTTGCACTTTGTAACATGTCACACGGAACCTGAAGATTTTAAAAAATTGCATTCAACATACCCTAAAGAGAAGAACTTCCCTTTCCCATTTCCCCCTTCTCTTAAGAATGGGAAGGAAAAGTGGATTTGACGGTGGAGGAGACGCACAGGAAGGGGAAATGTCCTCTTTATGTGCACCTCCTCCTCCGTCAATTAAGGATAGGCAACGCATCTGCTATTGCGGATATGTATGAGCAAGGGTCGCTTTCCATTTCGGTGGATTCACTTGGACGCTTGCTCGTTTGCCACCTTGTATTATAAAAAAAAAGAACTTTTTTTAATGAGAGTACGGAGCACAATCATTATATATTACAAAACTACCATAATAGTAGATATGCTAATGCTGCAAAATATTACTAATATTATAAATGCGAAAGTTTAGATGGATGTTTGTAGCCTAAACTACTGAATGGATGTTGATGAAATTTGGCATAGATGTAGAGGATAGTCTGGAAGAACACATAGGCTACTTAGTTTTACTTTTTTAATTCCACGAGAACTGAATTGCGGGAGAAAGTTAGTTACAAATAAAATTAATTTACCAATTAGTTTTAGAAAATATAAAGAAACTGCTGCCATCTGGTATCGGTTTTTCTTGAGTTTTGATCTCAACTTCTGAGAGCCGTCGCGGGCGTGCTGACACAGTCGGCTGCCGCTTCATAGGCTGTGGTTCTTCTTTCTTTACATCTCCTAGAAACAAAGGTGGTAAAATAATCTATATATATTCTAATATTATAAAGAGGAAAGATTTGTGTTTTTGTATGTATTGGAATGACTCAAAAACTACTAGGCCGATTTTAAAAATTCTACCACCGTTAGAAAGGTAATTTATCTGTGAGTAACAAATGCTATATTTTTTAATTTCGCGCAGACGAACAATTAGTTTAAAAATCAACGACTAATTTTAACATTACCATTCTGTTTGACATCATTATTGACTAGTACTTCATTAACGTTGTCTCTTTCTTCTTGTTCTTGCTCTTCTACTTCTTCTTCCTCCGAACCAGTTTCTTCATATTCATGCTCTGATCTAAAGACATAAAAGAAATTAAATTTCCAAAGGAATTTAGTCAAATTTCCCTTCTCATAAGGAAATGATGGGAAGGAGGGGTGGATTTGGCGACAGACGCATAAAGAGGAAAATTATCTTCTTTCTGTGCCTTTCTTTATCCATTAATTAGCAACGCATCTGCAATTGCATACATTTATGGGCAGCGGTCACTTCAATATTGTGATGAATGGAAGTTTGTTATAATGTATCTCCAGAATGGCTTAACAGATCTTGTTGAAATCCGGTATAAATATATAAAATAGGTTACATTAAAGTCAAGTCTATAATACTGATAGTTCTCTTACCTGGCTACTTTCTTGTATTTTTTATTATGGCTGCATTGAAATTATAACATCGCATTTACTTAGGCATACTTTTTCAATTTACAATCATTCTTAGATGATAAGAGCGTCACACCTTTGACTAAACTATCGCACAACTGCTTAGTCCATCATCATCCCCCTATCCTACTCCCGTAAGGTCGGCGCAATAGGTTTTTGTCCTCCACATAACTCTATCATACGTCATCTCAGTCATCACTCCCTTTTTGATCATGTCACCTTTTACACAATCCATCCATCTCTTTCTAGGTCTACCTCTACCGGTGTACCTCCACACTCATAACTAACGTTCTCCTTGTAACATGCGATTCACCCCTCCTCATAACACGCCCATACCATGCTAACCTTTTACTCCTTACCTTCTCAACCACTGGGGCTACTCTCAAACTTCCTCTAACATACTCATTTCGTATCTTATCCATAAGTCTCACTTTGATTCCTATATGGAGCGCTCAGTACGCGATTTTTAGTTGTGCTAAACAGTTGACTTGGCTGTAAAACAATCGACAATCTCACAACAGTGTGCGATTGTTTAGTCAAAGAACTCGCTCGCTCTTAGTGTCAATTCAATTGACTTACCCTTCACTGGAATAACCTTCCTCGTCATTAGCATACTCATCATCAGCCTCGACTCTTTCTTCAACCTGAGGGTTACCAGCCTCCGGGTTCTCAGCTTCCTGAAAATAAGTCAACTAATATTATAAATGCAAAAATTTAGATGGATGGATGTTTGTAGCTTAAAAGGCTGAACGGATCTTTAAGAAATTTTGAATAGATGTAGGGCACAGTCTGGATGAAAATATAGGCTACAAAGAAACAATTCTTTTAGTCCACGTGGGCTGAGCCGCGAACGAAAGCTAGTATTGCAATTAAAAAACTAAGTCCACACCATTTTAGCCTTTAAGACATCTCTACTTCTTTAAAATTGAGTTATAACATCCATACAATTGTCCATCCAAGCTTTATTGTCCGTATGTTGGTACTAAGTTCAATAAACTAGTCGGTACCGTCACCGGAAGGTTCCATGTAAGTTTTTAAAGCACAATAAGATATTTATTTAATATACATTTTCATAAAATAATCTGGTTTAATAATAAAAATTATTAAAAACTTACATCTTTTTCTTTCTGTATTTCATCCATTTCCTCTGCATCACCTAAATTATCAACAGCAATAGCCAAGAATACGTTCAGTAAAATATCTGATAAAACTGTTAAGGAAATCTGCAGAACTTAATACACTTCAGAATACGAGTAGCGCCATCTATTAATCGGACGATAAAAAGAGCTAAATTAGGCTATCTGTCTATATTGCCGGTATGCCTTATTCTTGGTCATCATCGTTTTTTTAATAAATCTTCAATCAAGCACATGATAAATAATTTAAAATTATGCTCTTTGTTGTATTTTACGTATTTTTCAAAGGATACAATTACCACAGATGAATATAACAATGAAATAAATGGAGGCCAGCATCCCCGGTGTGCCGGAGCCGCCGTACGCGTTGATACCGTGGTACATCACCGCGTTCCAGTCCTCGCCAGTCAGGATCTCAAAATAACATACAATCAAATACAGTTCAACAGAACAGTGGATTATCTATACAAATATAAAGCGTAAACACACACTACTAAGGGTCTGTCCCAGTAAATTGTCTGATAACAATCCAACGCGTAGAATATGTGTTGGAAATATCGGATTTTGTTACCTTAACTGACAGTGACGTCATTTTTAAGCTATATTAGTTATGTAAGATATCAGCAATCAAAGTACATTTTTAAATCACTACTTTTGTAATAAAAAGTCCTACAACTACGACACGCTGTAAGCTATATCCGTTCACGCTATTAAACTTAGGGAGTAAGTAATTGTAAAAAAATCTTGATGCGGGAAAAGGACAAAAACTGCCACTTGAGAACATCGAGAAAGCAAAGTTGCCACAGTACAAAAATTTCACAAATGTAAAAGAATAAAATAAAGTTTTTATAATTTAACGCTGTAAACGTATAAAGCTATTAAAATATAAAAAAATATATCTACTTGAAACATTGTCAAGACTGCTTGCCAGAATGAATCAAAGTTATGCCTTTCTTTCTCCTGCACGGGATCGTAGTCGAATCTCCCTCCGAAGACCTGCATACCCAGCAGCGCGAAGATCATGATGAAGAGGAACAGAAGAAGCAAGAGGGAGAAGATTGACTGGATGGAATTGAGCAGAGACGCGACGAGGTTAGAAAGAGATCGCCAGTATCTGAAAAAATTAATAACATTTTTAGTAAAACTCTTTTAATAAAAATCTATCTACATTTGTAACTATCTTTAGGCTGCGATTCCGTCTGTGTTTAATTAAAAAAAAAAAAACAATAATAAGTAGCCTATAAGTTCTTCCAGGCTATGCTCTACATTTATAGCAAATTTCATCGAGATTAGGCGGCTCTAATAAACGTCCATCCATCGATCTAAACTTATTACTGGTAGAAATATTTTAAACACGAAACGTTGATAATTAAAAACTAACATTTCATAACAGGTAAGTTAAATGAGTTCTCTAAAATGCAATAACTACACTGAACAAGTATAACTTACTTAGTTACTTTGAAGACCCTAAGCAGTCTCACGCAGCGCAGCACAGAGATGCCGAGCTGCGGGATTGTGTTTGACAAAGTGAGAGCCAACTCCACGATAGAGCACACCATCACAAAGCAATCGAAGCGATTGAACAAAGACACAAAATAACCCTGGAAAGATAATTATAGTTTTTTTTATAACATAAGGTGGCAAACGAGCGGCCACCTGAATCCGCCAAGATGGCGAAGCAACCGCTGCCATAGACATCCGCAATTGCAGATGCGTTGCCTACCCTTATACGACGGAGGAGGAGACGCACATAAAGAGGATATTTCCCCTTCCTATGCATCTCCTCCACCGTCAAATCCACTTCCTCTTCCCATCCTCTCCTTATAAGAAAGGGGTGGTAAAGAGAAAGGGACTTAAATTAGGCCTCCGGCTCCACAATCATCAGACGAAACAAGGAATTACTTCCACTTCACGCCTGTCTTCTGTGTGGTCGTGGTAATACTTTGGGCGTGCCGGCCCTGCAGTGCTAAGATGTTAAAGCGGGCACTACCACTGATATTTTTAATTATTATTAATTATTTACTTTTAATTATTTTTTTTTATTATTCTCCATCGTCATAACACTTGTTTTACAAGAATATTTAAAGCGTGACTTTTGACTTAGTTTAGTCAACGCACAACTGTTTAGTTTCGCTTTGATTCCTAAGAGCTTATATGGAACGCACATTACTAGATTTTTAATTATGCAACTAAACAGTTGCAAGGCTGAGAAACAATCGACAATCGCATAAAAGTTGTGCGACGCACGCTCTAAGTTTTTCAAATTTGAATAATTATGATTTGTAATGATGTACATTTACGCAAAAACATATTCAAAACACTGCCTTATCTCTTTTAAAATAAGGTACTAATAATCTATAATAACTGAATTCTGGTAATTAATCTTTCTGGTCAATTAACTCACCTGGAAGCCCAATGCGTACATTTTGACAAGCATTTCCATAGTAAAGAGAACAACGAAGAGATAATTGGCGTAATTCTGGAAGTAATCCAGCCATTGAGGTTGTCTGTAAAAGAAAACAATTAAACAAAGCTTAACGTTATAAACATAGTTAATTTGTAAACTGTGGACATAATTCAGTTCACAGAGTCAGATTGAACACTGCCAATGTTTTCAAAGTGACTGTATTTAATTTAGCAATGAAGTACTCGTAACTTACCGATAATGTTCAGATGCTAGTACTAAAGTGTTAAGAAATACTAGAACAATAATAGCCCAATAGAAAGCTTGCGATTTAACAGCTTTCCTGCAAGCTCTACGCATGCGTCTATTGATCTGAAACATGAAACAAACTTTATTCGACGAGTCTTGAATACAGAGATAAATAGGCAAAGATTAAGAATTCTAAGACAAGCCACGGCTAAAACATCATTGATAATACCTTGTCAAATCTTCTACAATATATTTTGCAAGTGGAAGTTTTCATTTGATCTCCATTCCCGTTTACTTCGTTCTGTGAGCCTTCGTTGCTTTTTCTTTCTTTTTTACCTGAAATCGTATAACACTTTATCAAATACAAATAATAATATCTCATTTATTTTATTATCATTATCAACGTACCCTTGAAGGGACAAGGGATAGAGGATTCAATAGGGATAGAGGGTCGGCACAGTAAGGTCTCTTCCATACAGCTCTATCAGCCGTCATATCTGAAGTCACTACCTTAAGCATATCCTCTTTCACACAATCCATACTTCGGTCTTCCTCTACCTTTGTAGCCATCCACATTTAATATTAATCAACACAAACAATATATTCTTACGTAGAATATACCTTACCTTGTGAATCTCTGTCTTCATCCTTCTGTCCCTGGTCATTCTCCAGATCCAACTCTTCAGCGACAGTGATCCAGTTCAGATATCCTTTCAAGTCTTCTTCAAACTGCTGCCTCTCTCTTGACTTTTGGAAGTCACCTCTACTTTTTGCTTTCTCTCTTTCTTTTGAGAATTCACTGAAACACAATAATTATAAACTGTTGTAACTTCGGCTTTATTTTTATTTTCGTTTTTTTTTTGTGACGGAATGGCCACTGTTTGCCTTGAAGAGGCATTTACAGATACACCGGGCTTGAGGTGGCCGAGCGCAGATGGCGCTTAGCCTAAACCTCGTTTATGAGTATCTGAGCTCGAGGGCTCCCTCAGGAGCCTCGGCACGAGCCGTTACTTCGTTATTATTACCGGATTAGGAGGCCACCGAGCTCTTAGATCGCTTCGGCGGACGCTCCATGGAATGACTAGACACAAGGGCCCCCGAGAGGCGACCTCGGCTTGGACTGTCACTCAATACGCGTTTAGCATTCCGATTCAAATGTGCCTGGGAGGGCCGGATAAAATCTCACTTACCCGGAAAGTACACCGAGAATTAGATTCATGACGAAAAAGTTGCCAAATATGACCAAAGTAACGAAATAAATCCACACCCAGGTATTGCCTTTTACATCAGCTATCTGAAATAAATAGATATTAACTTTTTAATTCTAAGTTTTCTACATTTGACTAATGTTCTTTTTTATGGTAACGAAATTATTAAGTTACAATTCTTGCGTAAAATCAAAGAAGAAAATCAAAGAATTTAGTGCGATCATGGCTCATTTTAACGAAATATAAATTATGGTTGTAGCAAAAGCCATTTTAACGGAAGCGGATTCGGATGCGGAAGCGTAATCGGAGGTTACAATAATAATATCATATGTAACAGAATCTTAAATTATAAGTTCCACGCATAAACTACTAACATTAAAATTTCGTCGTTTATCATATTTAAGATTCGTTTCAGTATTTGGCCTATCCAGTTGTAAATCTCTTTAAGATACATCTAAAAGCTGAAGGAAGATGGTTGTAAAAATAATTAGTCTAGACTTATGAAACTTCCTTACAGCATACATAATATCAGTCCAGCCTTCCAGTGTGATGCACTGGAAGACAGTAAGCATGGAATAGCCAATGTTGTCAAAGTTCGTGATGCCGTAGTTAGGTCCCTTCCAGGTGGACTCCTTGCAGACTTGCCCAGAATCACACTGCACGCCCACGTCCGGGTCTTTACTGCATACTGAAGGTTCTTCTACCATCTCTGGAAATAGAACAAACTCTATTAAGATTCAATTATTTCAAAAAGACATTCGAGTTTTGCCCACGTGGAACATAATGGTCTCCTTAGAATGCATAGAATTGCAATTTAAAGACTAACATTAGATACCTTAAGGAATAAGTTACCCGCTTGATATTATAAGAACTTCATTTACATTCGCAGTAAGTGGCACTTTAAACTATATCTAGGCTTTCCTTGCATCACCACAATCCTTCCAAAGCGCCTAATGAAGTATTGCTTCCTTCCAAAGACTATAAAATATTGAACTTACCAGTGCCGTTATAGAAACAGGTGTTATGAAGAACACCAGAGAAGAGCTCGAGGCCGATGATAGCGTATATAATGATGACGAACAGCACGAGGAAAGCGATGTGGAACAATGGAATCATCGCTTTTAAGATTGAATTTAATACGATTTGTAGACCTGGAAGATGAGACAGTCAGTTAGCCAAAGGTAGAAGGTCTTGGAGTTTAATGCGAGTTTTACAATATTATCTTGAATTCCTTACTCAAAAACTAAATGTTTTTGTACAATCTTTTCTGTTATCTGATGGTATAGTTAATTTAAGTCATTTTCCCCTCCAAAACATTTTTTATAAGGAAATGATCAAGGGAATTACAGAGCAGGGGACGCATCGAAATTGAAAAAGCCCTATTTCTGTTTGTCAATTAAAGGTAGACAAATTTGCAAATGCAGATGTTTTTGGGCAGCGATTGCTTCACTATTCAGATGCCTCTATATCTTTGGCTATCTTTTGATATTAAACTAAATACAAACTTACTTGGTACACCAGAGACCAACCTCAATGGCCTCAGTACCCTAAACGCTCTCAATGCTTTCACGTCGAAGGAGTCTTTGAAAAAATCTTGCAATATCATACTCACTATACTGAAAGAAGGTACACGATTGTTACTTTAAAAGCAAGCAAACAGGACAGTAGTAAATGTTACTAATATTAGAGATAGTTTAAATGTAAAAATGTTCGATGGAAAGACGACAATCGCACAAACTGTTGTGCGATTGCCGATTGTTTTGTTGTTTTCAACTGTTTAGTTGCACAAACAGTGTGATAGTTCAGTCAAATGTGCGCGCGCGCTCTTATAGAGTTTGTAACCTAAATGGCTGAACGGATCTGAATAGAATTTGGAAAAAACATAGTTTTTTAACTATTCTGATGTAGTGTATATTCTTAAAAGTTATTTAGTCTGTGCTACAAATCAATACCAATTATCTTTATTGGAAAAAAACAGAAACTTTGTTATTAAGAAATCAGATGTCAGAAATAAAAGTGTTGCATTGACGGCCATATGAAGATAACATAAGAGCTAAATATGACTAGTTGTAGTTTATTAAATAATAATATGTCTATATCTCCTAAAATAGGCAATTTACTTTTGTTTTTTGTTATTCCATGGAGTCGCAGGATAAAGCTGTAATATCTGACGATTTTACAGCTGTTAATTTATAAAATCACTTACCCAATAGTAACTATAGTAAAATCTAAACTGTTCCATGTATTCCTTAAATAAGCACCGGGATGGAATAAAAACCCGTATGCTATTATCTTCATAACACATTCCCCAGTAAATATTACCATAAAAATCCATTCCACCTTTTCCTGTAATCAAATATCGCATTTTACAATACCTACATTTTTCATTCTGACTTTCTTTCGCCGGTCAATAGATGTCGCTATTATATATTTTCCAAACTTACATATTTTTTTAATTGCTTGCTTATCTTTTAAATATTTACTTTGGACTACATACTTAGAGCGAGCGCATATCTTTGAATAAACAATTAAACAACTGTTGTGCGGTTGTCGATTGTTTCACAGCCCATTCAACTGTTTAGTTGCACAACTAAAAATCTGATAGCGTACCTCCATATACGCTTAAAGGAATTAAAGCGCGACTAAACAGTTGTGCGATAGTTTAGTCAAAGGTGTACGCGCATACTACCCTCCACCACCCATTGCCCCACCGACCCTCAGGTCATTCCCATTTCTGAACCATAGTTAACGTAGTTTTGGCCATGGATTCGATTCTAGCCCAGGAATTGGCTTCGATTAAAATAATCACTTCACCAGAGTGACACGTAGCAGAAGAAGATCGTTCATGAGTAGGTTCCACAAAGTAGGCCCCAACACCGAGCCTTGTGGACATCCCATAGTGGAGGTCTTCCACAGCAATTGATCCCCAACAAAAACACCAACTCGACGAGAGGTGAAATAGTCACCGATAATTCGGTATATGCCTACATAAAAATAATGCAATACTTACTAATATTTGATTAGTATTATTTGTGTCGCCAGACGGGTAAGGCGTGAACACAGCTAGAGCGATACAGTTTGCGAATATAGTTGTCAGTATCATATACTCGAATGGTCTGAGAGCTTATTAAGGAAGTAATATAGTCGGGGAAACTGGCTGTGTTCCACTTAAAAATTCCCTTACCATCCTATTCTTATAAAAAAGGGTGGGAAGAAAAAGAACTAAAGTTGGGTCTCCGGCACCACACTCATCAGACGAAACGCGGAATTTCTCCCAATTCACGCCTGTTTTCTGTGTGGTCGTGGTATTACACCGGGCGTGCCGGCCCTGTTAATTCATTAAGTCATTAAATTATTTATAAAGGATACTTCCATTCAACGATATCATAACATAATTTCCTAAGCGGGTTCTTAAGGCCTAAGCAGAACAGACTTCTCTTCGGTTTCTCAGGTTGTGGTTTGCCTCTAGGTCTCGCAGGTTTCTTAGGCTGGGCGACTAACGCCTGGCCTGTATCTGGACCTAGGCTGTCCGCCCCAGGTGTTGTTGCCCCAGTCACTTGTGTGGGGTCTGTCGCCATTTTCACCTGGAATTAAACAATATAGGTTATTTATGATAATGAAAGTAAACTTTAGGGTACCTGAGTAAGTAATTAGTCTTATTCTTGTAATTTAAGGTTTTAATTTTTAATACATTTACGTCCTATTTAACTGATTTAAATATAGCAATAGTGTAGTTTGGTAATGGTCTTCCCTTTTCTTTTGGTTTTAATTTTTTTTGGAGTGTTTAATCTTTAGGTAAATGTTGAATAGATAAAAAATCTTTGTTGATTTTAACAAATGATTATGTACAAATTCTGAGAGAATAACATAAGAATATATTTTATACTTGTATTCGCCCGCGCCTCCGTCCGCGTGGAATTAAAAAAAATGTGTGTAGCCAATGTGTTCTTCCAGACTATCGTCTACATCTGTGCCAAATTTCACCGAAATTTGTTTAGCCGTTTAGGCTACAAACTCTAACAAACATCCAACCATCCAAACTTTCGCATTTATAATATTAGTTAGATTTGTAACTTGAGTGAATTTTCATTAAAAACAAAGCAATCTAGATAAAAGCTTCCGTATTTAACGTTAACTGGATCCATCATATCAAAGCAAAGGGAAAAAGTAAAACTGCATCTCCCTGCCTCCCTCTGGGAGCCACCCTGGGGGATGCATTGATCGATTTTACCTGTACATCTCTATATCTATAAAGGTCTGTATAAACACTAGCTGACGCCCGCGACTCCATGCAAGGAGAATTAAAAAACTGAATTACTAGGCTATGTATTTTGTCGAGATCATTTAAGCCGTTCTGAAGATATCTACTACTTCTAATAAACTATCTAAAGAAACTAAACTTTCATATCTTACTAATCTTACTAATATTATAAATGCGAAAGTTTAGATGGATGGATGTTTGTTAGAGTTTGTAGCCTAAAGGGCTGAGCAGATCTCGATGAAATTTGGCATAGACGTAGAGGATACGCTGGAAGAACACAAAGGTTACTCACTTTTGTCTTTTTTTATCCCACGCGGGTGGAGTCGCAAGCGATAGCTAGTTAGTAACATTAGTAAGAGTATAACGAGTCTATATTGTTTTGCTTGCAAATAACATTTGAAATAATAACAATTGTTTCGAAATAACGACAAAAAAGACAAAATATTTTTTTACTATTCTCTCGATCGTAAACCGAATAGTATAGAAGACCGATATTGATGTACAGATATATCCTAGCTCATCTGTTCACCTGTCTGTATGCTCGTAACGCTGTTACAACACCTTAACACGTTTATGACGGGAATATATCCCAGCAATTTGACGTTTTTCGTACATCCCACGTCGTAAACAGTTCACACTAACAAATAAATATCTCCACATTGCGAGTAAACGATCTTTATTGCACGAATACTTCAGATTTATGATACCATTCTGTATTTTTCGCGCGCAATTTATTTCATTTCAAATTTGGAACGGATATGCAAATTTTTTTTTTAAACTTTAATGTCGGTTTTATAATAAGAGTTATTTACAAAGAAATAAAGCTGAAAGTTATGCAATACTAACGTTTACAGACTTCGTCCGCGTGTAATTTAAGAAACAAAAGTAAGCGTAAGGGCTTGTCCCACCACTGGCTGATAGGCTCAGATAGCTTAAAAATGACGTAACTGAATAAGGGAAAAAAATCCGATATTTCCATCCCATATTTTACACGTTGGAATGTTATCAGACAATTTAAAATTTGGTAGAATAGGCCCTAAATATCATACTTCATACTAATATTATAAATGCAAAAGTTTAGATGGATGTTTGTTTGTAGCCTTAACGGATAAACGGATCTCAATCTGGCATAGATGTAGAGCATAGTCTGGAAGAACACATAGGCTACTGTTTTTTAAAAACCAAGCAGAAGGAGTCACGGGCGAAAGCTAGTAATGAATAAAATGTCGTGAATACAATAGCTTTTGACTTGAATGTTGACCTTTGCATATCAGAGTTGTACCGATAATGTCAAACATAATGGATACCCTAACGTTATATGTGTCTCATACAAAATAGACCCGGCGCCAACGATATTATGTCATACATGAAACTTAATATACTTACTATGTTATACGAAATTATTATATATATTAATATTATAAAGAGGAAAGATTTGGATTTTTTGTTTTTTGTATGTATTGAAATAACTCAAAAACTACTGGGTCGATTTCAAAAATTCTTTCACCATTAGAAAGCTACGTTATCGCTAAGTAACATAGGCTACATTTTTGAATTTCACATTAACTCGCAAGCAAGAGCTACATAATTAAGTTGTAAAGAAAAAAATGGAGTTTAAGATTGGATATCTTACTTCTTATTATAAATGCAAAAGTTTATTGTGTTAGTTAAAGATATTTGGCATAGAAGTAGACTATATTATGGAAGAACACATAGGCTACTTATTTTGTTTTGTTTTTATTCCACACAGACGCAATCGCGGGCAACAGCTAGTTGAACATATAGAAGTCTATTATTATGTAAAATTCATTTATCATATACGAATAGTAATTATGACAGCCACTAAGAGTCAATTACAGGTCATTACAAGACACTATGTCAAAGCCCACTAGCCATTAATATCACAAAATATACGCTAATTAGGTCAACTAACTAACGTATAATTAACATGAGAATTTATCTTAAAATGTCGGTTAATTTAAGAGAGTTATTGTCCACTATAAATTTACTATTATAATAAAGCGTAAACACACGCTTTTTTGTTGCCTAAGATGTCAGCAGTTACAGCATTTTTAATGCATCTTTTTTAATAAAAAGCCCTACATTTGCGTCACGCTTTAGGCTATATATTTTAAAGCCATTAAACTTAGGGGTAAATATTTTAGACAAAAACCTTAATATGAGAAAGAGACCATAAGTTGCTGCCAACATCAAGGAAGCAAGATTGTCGTCATGACATCATTTTGACGTTTGTAATTGATCATTTTACAAATGTAAACAAATAATAAGATTTTCATAATTTCATGCGGATGAAAGTCGCACGGGAACAGCTAGTAATTAATAAAAACTATTGAACGGAATAAAAAACTTTTATATATTTACATCTTACTAATATTATAAATGCGAAAGTTAAGATGGATGGATGTTTGTTAGAATTTGTAGCTTAAACGGCTGAACGGATCTCGATGAAATTTGGCATAGACGTAGAGGATAGTCTAGAACACATAGGCTACTTACTCACTTTTGTTTTTTTAATTCCACGAGGAGGGAGTGGCGGGCGAAAGCTAGTACTATTATAATTGCTATAAAACTAGGCTACATTTTCTGTAGTTTTTTTCCAATTTATGCTGGGTTTCTGAAGTTCCTAATCAATTTTGTCAGTACCTATTGATTTATTAGTGTTAGGTTAACCCATGTTTCAACGGAGTAAAACCTCTATTTACTTAGTTGGAAACGCATTTCATGAAGTTATCGAATCAACACTAACGGATACTTAAACTTAGCTGGGAAACCTGCCATAAATCGCAATTATCAGTTAAAAATATGTAGCAAAACTATTCTATAGGATTACGTTATCTTTGCATTGTCGTATCCATTGATGTTTAAATATTATCTTACACCTGATTAAGACTAAAGAAAAACGCAATGTATCGTAACTGAACGATGCGTTCGAATTACTGGAGCGTGTAATTAACGAGACAGATTTATGTGTTACATGTGCATGAAACTATGACGTCATACTAAGAAGTAATTTAAAGACAAATATAGATTTTTATATTATACAAGACTAGCGGTTGCTTGCGACTTCATCCGCGTAAAATACAGCCTATTATACTCGTTAATAAAACTACCTTTCTAATGGAGAAAGATTTTTTTAAATCGATAAAGTGTTCTTTGAGTTTTTCATTTTCAATACATAGTAAAATCCAAAAATACCAATGTTTCCTCTTTATAATATTAGCATAGAAAAGATAGCTAACAAAACAAAGAATCGATAATCGATCGAATCGAATCGATAATTTTTACTTTTTCTTTTTTAATTGTTGTATTTTTAAATAATTCTACAGATTACGTACAGTTGGTGCAGTCGTCGGTGTTCCACCTCAAAAAACTACGATCTTACGAACATTATGAAACGAGCCACGGAACAAAAATAAATACAACGCATCTTATAAATGTGTCTGTACAAAAAAAAAATACACGGTTAGTTTCTGTTATCCTTTCGTTCGCACTTAATGCTATCTAATAAGTTTTCTATAGGAAGAGGCGGAGCCCCAGTAGTAGAGAAGGTAAGGAGTAAAAGGTTAGCATGGGGGCATGTTATGAGGAGGGATGATTCACATGTTACAAGGAGAACGTTAGTTATGAGTGTACACCGATAGAGGTAGAACTAGAAAGAGATGGATTGTGTGAAAGGTGACTTGATCAAGGGAGTGATGACAGATGACGTATGATAGAGTTATTTGGAGAACAAAAACCTGTTACGCCGCTACGGGAGTACGATAAGGAGAAAGATGGTGAGAAGGAGGCGGAGTTTGTCTCATTTTAATAAACAAGGCAAATTTTCCTGAGATTGAACACCGAGGAACTCAGCGACTGTACCTTTTCAGTTACAAAGTTACAATAATCTTTGGATCGATCTCAAGTAGCAATATAGATTTTGGTCCATGATTAGATCACTGACAAGTATTTACTTAAATAACATGATGTATTGACTTTGGCCAACGATGGCCGTCTAGAGCCCGCTGTGATATCACTCCACGCACAACGGGAGGTCCTCTATCGATATATCTCTGCTAAAACATAAAAAAACAACAAGAAAATACTCGTAAGGAATTTTTTTATGTTTTATCGTTGTTTACTGACCAAATATCCCAAAAATTTTACTGCAGTGGTAGGTATCTTACCAATAATATTATTGCGAAAGTTTAGATGGATGTTTGTTACAGTTTGTAGCTTAAACTGCTGAACGATATAGATGAATTTTGGACATAGATGTTGGATATAGTCTAAAAGATCACGTGTGCTACTTGCTTTTGTTTT